CCTAAAATCGTCACCTCGCCGGGTCAGTGGTCGTGATCTTGGCCAAGTCACGTAGCTGTTTGGGTCGTAAAGGCCGGCTATCCGTCCGTCCAAGAGCTTCTGCAAATTTCTTACAAAGACCATAAAAGCCGAGAAATTAATTTCTTTTTAACCACCCGCTTCTGCTACCTAACCGAAACTCCACGCCGGCGCGAAAAGTGAATCGTTATTGTCAGTCGGTTGGCTGATGGAGGGGCGGGAGATGCCGTAATGAGTAGCACAATGTGACAATTGTCGTGTATTTTTTTTCGTGTCTCATTTTGGATTCGGGTTCGTGACGCAACTGCCAAAACAGTCAGCTAATGAATGAATCGGGCCTCATGGAGCTCACTAGGGCAAAGGGAAAATGGAGTAGAGGAGTCTCCAGCTGCCATCTCTTTTGGGGCCGAGCGATTCTACAAAGAAAGTCTCGCGAAGCGATTATGTTTAGCTGGGCTCAGGCTCAGAGTAAGGGAAAGTCATGAAACTTTAATTGCGCAATGTTTCTTTATTTTTTGTTTTTTGAGTAAATGATTTGAATAATTTGCAGAACTTGTCCACTCTAGTACACTGGGGAAAATGTTCTACATGACAGAATTATACAACAAAGTGGTTAGTTATGAGAAATTATAGAAAATTGACATAACAAATATATATGTTTTAAAAAATATAAATTTAATTCCTAAAGTGAGCGTATTGTATACATTCCGCTAAACCTAACATATTTGCAATCATTGCATCGTATTTATCTATTTATCTATAGTTTTAGAAGACAAATTATTCAACATATTTAATTTTTAAAGCTCATTACTCAACCAAAAAAGCATTAATTTTAGCTCGGAAAGTTGTCCTATGCTAGTTTTTATAAGGGCCATCAAACTGCATAATTAAATATGCATTAAATTAAAATGAAATTTTTAGTCGATTGTTGACCATTTAACCCCTTATCATTTTTTGAAAAAATGGAAAAAATATAGAAGATAGATAGATAGATCGACTCAGCTATTGATGCTGATCAAGAAAATGTATAATTTTTGGGTCGGAAACGACTCTTTTATTAAGTTTTAAGCTTTTGACTAGAGTTATAATACCCTGCAAAGGTATAACAAGCACCAGTCAACATCATAGTCTTTAGACATTTTTCAAACCAATAGAGGCATATATTTCCTGTAGGAAATTTCCCAATGGAGATCCAAATTTTCTCTCAGTGCATGCGCATGTCAGATACGCAATGCTGGGCACAAGACGAGCGCGAAGGAATCAAGCGTATCTCTTAGAGCACACCTAGGCTACCCATCTCCACTGGCACCGGCACCGGCACAGGCACCCAACCCGACTCTGGCTCAACCCTCTGGCTGTATCTGTATCTTCAAGCTTGCCTGAGCAAAAAATACGACTAATTTCTGAAATAGTTGCCGCTGCAGATGCGAGCGAACCTTAAAACAGACACTGTAGCAAAGGCAGCCTGGTAAATTGAATGGAGAAAGTGATGATCACGGTAGTATGATGTTGCAGCGATATATTTGTTAAATAAATCACATCAACACTGACTGGATGCAGTTAACGGTTTGGCACTCAAATGAAAATTCTCTCTTAAAAGTAAAAGCCAGCTGCAGGGGACAAAAGAAAATTCTAGAAATTTGAATAAACCGTTGAAAGGGAAAATGAAAATGTATGCTCTTCGGGTTCTTCGAAGTTCAGATTCTGTTTTATCTCTTCAATTTAACTGTTTTCTCAAACATCAAATTCGAGCCATAAAAACGAAACCAGACACACACATGGGCAGGTCGAGAGACGACCTCTAGGCCCTAAAAGTAAGAGTTTTCTGGACACACAATAAACATCAATTAGCCTTGTTTTGCATTTCTTTTTTCTTTTCTTGTTTCACGTGGACCAATTTTAATTACTCGTCTTACTGTTAGCTCATGAATAAGCACGAAAAACGTTGACAAAAACACACTCGAAAACATAAACATGGCCGGCCCGCCGATCAGAGGCCATCAAAATTGAAATCTAAAATGGAAATCGCTCAAAGTCTCGGACTCGGATTCGGATTCCAGTGGAAAGTTGGATTTTTACGGCGGCTCGCTTAAGAGTTTTTATTAGAGAAATGGAAACGGAGTTTTTTTCTTAATTGAAATCATCTTGAATTACGAGCACAAAAGCAATGTGGCACAATATTAATTCATTATTCATGCCCAGGCGTGGATCATAAAAAGTTTCATTAATATTCGAGTGAGAGAAGGCGTAATTCAATATGGAATGGAAGGATATTAATTATAATCATATAGTAGTTATTTTCGATTGAATAAAAGCTTAAGCTTTATGAGTCCTTGTAATTATAACAATGGCTTAAGTAATACAAGTTTTTAAAATAACTACAACAAATCTTTGTTTGCTTTCTTTGTATTTAGAACCCATTAAGCTACTTCATTACGCTTTTTATGAGGCTGTGTTCACTGAACAAAAGAAAGAAGATAGCTCTGAGTTTAAGATCTATCATATTCTTAATTATAGAACCCAAAAAGAAACATAGTTTAAGTACGAAATAAACCCATTACAAGAGGCTTTGTTGATTCTCATTTACAACTTAAAATGCAAATATAAGATCAACCATATAATAGCATTGCATGCATATGAATTATTATTGCGAGGCTCATTATCCGGAGCTTCGTTCTAAGCTATTCTTCAGCTATTCCCTAGATATTCTCCAGCTATACTTCATTTCCAAGCAGTGCCCAAGCGATTTCTGTAAAAAATGAAGTGCATTTTATGTTGGCAAACACACACAGAAAGGCGTACAACAGACCGCGGGCAGCTCCAATTATCGTAAGACTTGACCACGGTCATTGATTTCGAAAATGCCTTCACTGCTTCCAGTTTTCCCTCGGTCCCCACATGGCCTCCGGCTCTAGCTTCGCTCTCCACCTCTATGGCTCCCCGGTACTCCTAATCTCGAGCTCGTCACAGCTTCTGCGCTTGCGCAAATGGCAAAACCCGGGCCACCGGCATTTGGGCGACCCACGACGTCCCATTCGGCGTCACTGCGACAACGCTGCCTTTTAATTGCAATTGGCCCTCGGGGGCTTTGAGGGGGAACCCATACTGACATTGGCCTGGAGTTCGAGATGGAGATGCAACGGCGAAGGCGACATTGCCCAAATAACTTTGCGCAAATGCTCGACAACATTCACATGCACTGCAAGAAATTGACAGAGTTTCAAAAAAGTACTTAAAAAAGAATTTCAAACGCTATTTACAAAATGTAAAAAGTTGATTTGGTTTCTATTCTATCATCTATTCTGTCTATCTATATCCCTAATATTTTAGGGAAGGTACAATTAACCATTAAAAAAGGTTGATTTTGATATTCTATTAGTATTATTTTAGTTTTCTGGATTTATTTTAAAGATTAATATCGTATTAGCAAATAGTTTAGAGAATTTCTTAGAAACATTAACAAAACAAAGCAATTAATAAAGTAATAACATATATACTTAAATGAGCTTAAATGGTAACAAGGAAATTATTAAAAAAAAACGATTTAAAATTTTGTTAGGTACATTTTTTCATATTTTTAGACTGTTTGCTAAACTCTTTTTGTAACTACATTGACCCCTTGGTCACCTGTACTAGGTTTGAATAAACCCCTCTTACGCTACTTTTTTGCCACATAATGTGCAGTTTTGTTTTTTTCGCCGTGTGTGCCATATGCAAATAGAGTTGGCTGAAACCGTCCATCCAAACGGATAATAATACATAATGCCCCGATCGGCGGTGTCACCATTCCGGACCACAATCACTTTGTGGCTGTTGAAAGGCGACGGCTGTGTGGACGCGTTCGTCTTCATCACACACTTGAAAACAGAGTTTGGCCAACTCGAAGCTCGTCGGTTATGGCCGGGCATTCTCATTGTGCTGCCCACTTACGCCAGCGACGACTCTATTGTTGTTATGGCCGCTGCCACTGCCGCCGCCGTCGCCTCACCTGAGCTCACCTGGGCTCTTTTTTCTTTCTCTTCTCCGGCTGGTTTGAGCCCGACTTCTGCCGCTGAGCCCCATCGACAGTCGCTGTGTGGCATTCAACGAACTCAGACGGACCCGGCCGGGCAGCCCACCTGGATTACCTTACCTTAGTTATCCCAAAAGCCAAGAGCCAGTCCGTCAGGTGCACTGGATTTGGCCGGATTGGGCGGTGTTACCAGTGTTTAAAGTTGAAGTTCAATAAGGCACAAGTAAATGGCATTTCCAATTGGCTTATACGAATGTGATTCAGCAGTGTGTTTAGTGTGTGTTTATTGTGTGTGTTGAGTGTGTGTGCTAATTACTGCGAATATATCTCGCTCTGTGGAGTGAAAGTATCTCATAGATGCAGCCAAATTAACTCGGTGCGTTTGAAAATAGCCAACATTTTTTCCGATACAAACCAACAATTGCATTTCTTTGCGCAATTTATCAGCGACCAAAGCAGACCAAAAGTGGAAAATATATGTCTAGAGTTTTTGTGAATTTTTAAATACCGATTTTGCAATACACCCTAATCCAATACTGTTGCTACATTTTGTCGGTTTTTTGGTTTATGCTTACAGCTAATTAATGAGCCGGCTGCAATGAGAGATGATTAGGCGAGTGACGATAGCCCCGCTGCAACACGCCATGCAACACCTCGCGTTCGTCCCTATGCAAAGTGTGAGGAGTGCGCGGCGCTAAAATGTTGAAAATTAGCGTTCATTGCGCTTAAATGGATTGCATTCACCGCTAATTGCATACAAATTAAAAAAACACTAGCCAAAAATACAACTCCAAAAGAAACAGCAACAAAAAGCAATAAAGAAAGAAAACCAAACAATAAAAACTAAAGACAAACCATTCGCGGAGAGTGAAACAGAAGTGAAGTGCAAACAGCGATTTGCATCCGCCACCGCGGCATTCCGCGTGTGCTTATCACATCCAAAAGCCCCCTCTAGCCTGGGAGGAGGAGCATGGTCACCTGCAAGGTGGACTCCCAATCCGTGGTGGCCGTTCCCAAAATGAACGCGGCCCGGTCTCGTGGCAAACCCACCGGCGGCAGTCACAGCAACAGCCACTCTTCCGGCTTTCGGCTCCTGGACGGCGATCAGCTCGAAAATAATTCGAGTGTCAGCCGCAATTCGATTTACAAACTAAAGATCGATCTCATGTTCGACGATTCCAGGTGAGTTTCCCTTTAAAATTTCTTTCGGGTTACGGGTCACGGGGTGAAACTTCCATTCAGTGATAATTGCAAGCAGACACAGACCCCGGGGAGGTGTGTTTTCCCCATTAGCCTCGCTCTCGATCTTGGGCCAAAACAAATCAATTAGTCTTTAAGTGTACACAGAGCGAAAATATTATTTTAGAATAATAATCAAAGTAGGTAAAGCCAAGAAAGGTTAACTTAAAGAAGTAACCTCAAAGGTTCTTCAGAACTTCCATAAATTAATGACTAGAATTCTGACTAAAAAGCCTTTTGTGTTTATTTTATTATTAATAAAATATTAATTTTATTATTATATATTAACTGGCAGACTCAAAATAAACGAAACTACTTTTTAATTCATATGACGAAATGTTCTTTAAGAATATTTGAAACATTTTAAGAAGGATTTTAATTAATTTTCTTGATTATTTCTGGTAATTCGCTGTTAATAATTCTTTCTCTGCACCAACACTCTCATTTCCATTGACCACCCAGCACACTTTCGTTCTCGAAACCACACAAACTAAGATAAAAAGATACAAAGATAGAAAGATACAAATATACCAAAGCCAAAAACAGAGAGTGAGAGATCTCGAAAGACATGGCAAGACGGCTGCTGCGTTTACCGTTTTGCATTTCCATAACCAACCAAAAAAATACTGTTAGTTTAAAATTAAAAAAACCATATATTGTCTGCAAAGAAAAGAAGAGGGGAAGAGGGAAAGATCTTCAGCTTCAGCGAGATGTTCCATAGATAGATCTACACTTGCTCTTCAGATAAATATTCATCGTTGACACACATTCGCGACGAACTACTTAATTGATTGAGAAAGAAAACTATAGGCTGCTGCTCCCCGACTCACCTGTGGAATCCCCACACCAGTCCCATCCCAAGCTCATCTTCCAAACTCATCGCCATTCAAAACGCTCGACGTTCTATGGAAATAAGCGTTTCCGATTTTATGTCAGCTAGCGGTAAACGGAATGGCTTGAATTGGGAACACCTTAAGCTGCATTTGGCCATTGGTCAACGACCATCCCGTTCTCTCATCATAGAACTCTCTCATAGTGGTTCTCAACGAGTCCCAGGCTCTGTGACCTGGTCAGCAGGATGTGCTTGTGCCAATTGCAACTCCAGCTAGTTAGAGTTCAGACATAGTCAAGTCAAATATGCTAATCTCTGGTTGCTTTTACGATAATCAGTCAAACTTTCACAAAAACGGAACCGTTTTGTCGCACAGGTCTCATCACTAAACGTGTCTACTTGATGGATAGAACCGAATAGCTAATAAAGCAATAAACACTCCTATCGATTTTATACTGAAATTAAAATATATGGATCAGGAAAGTCCCTACTAACCATTGGAGATATATCATAGTAATGAATAGTATAACTTTATTAGGACTGCCGGCAAAAAACATTAGTAGAAAAAAAGAAGTTCTAGCATACACAACTTAATGGGTCTTTAATCTAATGATTCAAAAAATATATTTGATTTTATACTTTAAATTTTAAAGCTCTCTTAAGCTGAAATTTAAACTTGCTAAGAACACAGGTAATAGCTAAGATCTTAAAACAATGCGAATTAAGTAGGTTTTTAAGTTGTATAGATCAGGAAACATAACCTGACTAATGAGTTTATTTGGATTTTAGTGATTAAATAAGAAATGTTTATGGAATTGTTCATGTTTACCTTTCAATATTCAAAAACAGGAAACCTCTAATCAGAAGCTGCTTTAATTACATGAATACAGTTTTTAAAGTGAGTGAGAACTTTCTGTAGGGGCGGAAGACTCCAATGCTCCACATCCCAAACTAGTTTCAGAAACATATACTTGGCTTTGCTCTTCCTATTTTACAATCCTCTACTTCCTCCTAACCCAGATCCATGCGAAGCAGCCGCCTTGACGATCCCCGCGGATCGCATCGCACTCGCTCCATCATCATGTATGGGCGCAGTGAGTTGGCCAGCACCAGTGGCGACACGCCACGCTCCCTCAGCAGCTTCCTCCAGGACAATGGACAGTCGGCCAAGGTGCTGGCCGAGGCGGCCAAGAAGGATGTGCAGCGGATCAGCAACAGTGTGCAGGCCCAGATCGAGCAGCTTTTCACGGACGTGGCTAAGGATGCTACCAGTAGCTTCGAGGTTACCTGCCTGGGCGCCCTACCGCTGAAGGACAAGGTGACCAGCCTGCAGGGTCTCCAAGAGCCACTGCGTCAGCTATATCTAAGCGAGGTGACCAAGAAGGTAGGATGACTTTTAGGAGGACTGTATGGGTTTATTGATTGTATGATTTATTTCTTAGAAGCTGAACTCGGGATCGCTGGATATCTGTGCCACCGGACTGCGGGTAAAGATCAGCACCCTCTCCATAGCTTGTGGAGCGGATGGTTCGGAGGAAGGCGAGGCCCTCATCACGCCCTTCCACAACATAGCCGTGTGGTCGGCGGTGAAGTTCGTCATTTCTGACGACGATGGTGGCGCGGCCTTTCTACCCCTGATAACCGATCCGGAAAACATAGACAAGACTGCCCTGTTCCAGCCATTGAGGTGGGTCTACTTACACTATTCCTGATAGTCCAAAGCTAACAATATTTTCCGTCCATCAGCTCCAGCGAGCAACTGGCGGTGGAGCACAGCATCCATGTGCATGCACCCATCTTTGCGGTGGTCATGCGCTCGGCCAACTCGCCCAAGGTGCTCGAGTGCCATGGTTTTATCTGCAAGAGCACCGAGGATGCCATTGTGATCGCAGCCACGCTCTACCAGAGCCTGATGGCCCACGTGAGCACCAGTTCGCGGCGGAACACTCCGCGAAGAGCTCCCCGTCAGCAAAATGGTGTCAGCTGCATTAGCATTGCGAGCAGCTCGGCCCTCGCGAGCTCCAACTATCTATCCCGCTCCCAGATTGTGCCTAGCGCCAACGGAAGGCGTAGCTCCTTTCGGGGGAGCACCAGCGTGGCAGGAACTCCCTCCCGCTCGGGAAGAAAGAAGCGGATATCGAGTAGCTCCTTGAGCTCCCACAGTAATGTCATCAACGAGGCCGCTGAGCTGGAGACCTCCACAGAGGAGCGTCGTCGCAAATCTCACAAGTCCAAGAGGGCTCCACCAGTGCCGACGACAGTGCCCGGTTCGGGAGGTCACCGAAACGGAGGTGGTGGCACCCCCTCCCGCAGTGGCAGCATTGTGTGCGGCAATGGTCACGTGACCCGCTTGCATCAGGGTGCACATTCCGGCAAGAAAGCCTCTTCTGGGCCAGACCTCTCGTCGAGCGTGGACGTGGCACCAGTCAATGGAGACATACTCACACGAGTGGCCATTCCCAGATCTGGAAGCTTCCTCAACACCGGTGGTCTGACGCGCTACAAATCGCGGGCTGCGAGGCGGCATTCCGGCAAACTCGGCGGCGGTGGCGGAGGCGGAGGAGGGTGAGTATTGTCACCGAACTGGGGGGCAGGGGTAGTTGGGAAACCCCAACTACTCCTGTCCCTGGGTGCGGGCAGCAGTCTGTTTGCAATCTGGGGGAGAAGGTTTGGCCTGGTTGATTGGCATCGCTTGAATTGTGCTTCTAGTTCCCCACTTGGTTTCAGCGAGCTGTTTAACGAATTTCGACTGCACGAGAACCTGCACTCGCTGGACGACATCCTGTACGCCATCATCGATGCCGACGGTATGTCCTTTAACGACCTGAAGCCCATCTACAAGGAATTCCTGCTCAAGCTGGCCGTGACCCTCACCCAGGACGAGCTCTTTCAGCGCTCCAAGAACATAATGCGGCGACAGAAGAAAAAGAAGCAGAAGCGCAAGGCGAGTGTCAATGGTTCACAGGTGGGTCTCAGCTCTTGACTTTCCTAACCTTTGGGTAACTTTCCTCTCTCCCCAGAAGAAGCCAAAGACTAGTTTCTTTGGAACCAAGAGCCTGAAGAAGGTCTTCCAGCTGGGTCAGTTCCGTTCCTGCCGCGGAAAGCTCGCCAAGCCGGCTGTTAAGGCCAAAGAGGGCAGCCTGGACAAACGCAAGATCAGTGCGCCCATCATCATTGGCCCACCCATCAGCCATGCGCAGCAACAGCATCAAAGGAACAGGGCGGCCACCAGTGGCTCCGACGTCTCCGTAGTAAGGAACGAGCATACCCAGGGACTCAATCGGAATAGCAGCAGCGGGTAGGTTCTCGCTTGAAGCTCCTAAACTCCCAGTAAAAGTCATTAAAGTTATTTAACCCCAATCCCCCTCAGGTACGTGTCCTGTTCGGAGTGCAGCTACGACTCCGAGTCCTGTGCCTGTGCCTCGGCCGATCGCTGCTATTGCAGCCTGCGCACCGAGCACCTGAACCACAAGCTGCGCCAGAAAAACGAACGTAACATGGCACTGGCCTCGCCCACCCGGAAGCCATCAGCAAATCAAAGTGGAACCGGAACTACGGCCACCAACCGGCACTCGCTGATCTCTTGCCGTTCAGACGACAAGTGCTACTGTTCAATGGTGGAGGAGGAGCCGGCCAGTTCTCTGGAGCGCGACTCAGCCAATAATACGCACACGGACACGACCACGTCCTGCGATTCTGACAGTTGTGTGAGTGCCAGCAAGTGCTACTGCAAGCGCACCCAGCGCCGACAGCGTTCCTCGGCGGCGGCAGCCATCAGTGAGGATTCCCTATCCCAACAACAGCGCAAGTCCCGTCCAGGAGGGGCAAGTGGGGCTCCGCGAAAGACCAAGCCCTCGGAGAAACTGGGCTTAGACTACGAGCTCTTCAACATCAGCGGTAGCGGGCAGCCGGTGCAGCCCCATGAGGCTCTCAGCGTAAAGAAGAGCGTGGAGGCGGCAGCTGTGTTTGCTGATATGAAACTCAGTCAGACGACGGACATCAAGAGCTTGTGCCCGCCAAAGGGGGCGGTAACAGCGGGACTGGGATCCCGGTTGGGCAATGGCAGCTGTCGATCGCAAGCCTCCTCCAGAAGGTCCTCGTACCGTACCCGAGAGTCCTTCAGCACGGATCGCTTGGGCGGAGGCCTACCCCTGGCCATGCCTCTGGGCAAGAGCATAGGCTTGGCAGGAGGCGGTAGCGCAGACAATCTGCTGGCCAACATCAAGGCCATGGAGGCCAAGGCAGCCTCCATTCGTAGCAGCGCCAGCAGGAGCCGCATGGGCAGCTACCAGTCGATGCGGGCAGTGAGTGCCTCCCTGGAGGACTCGCTGGGTTACTTGCCATAGATGTGGGTTCGGAATAGTTACGATGTACATAGCACATAAGACTACATACTCATATATACTACATATTTAATAGTAATTCATTTACGGCTTATGTTTCCCAAGACAATTATCGCCAGTAATTCAAAGCGGATCAATTATCTTGCGAAACGTAATCATGTCTAGCATAAGTACCTCCTATAGAACATCCAGTGTGACTTAATCTCTAAGATCTAATCCATAGAAACTCGAGGTGCAATATAAAGACCAACCATTGGAAGGACCAGATTCCTTGATTTAAAAGCAGTGCAATATTTATAATATATGATTTAATATTATTAAATACAAATAAAAACATGTTTTACATCAACATATGAAGATTTCATTCGGGAAAGATTGAAAATAAGTGTAAACAAAATAATTGCAGAGAGTGATTAAACTTATTTGAAAATATCAACTATTAAAAAAAAAAAAACAATATTCACTGTTTTTATTTATTTAATTATAACAGCACGTGGGGAAATTCTAGGAAAATATACAAGTCATTGTTGAGCTCATACGATATATAGTAAAGACTATAAAGAAGGAACTTTTTAAGTTAAAGTAACTTTATCTTGTGTTGATTGTTACAAAGACTTTTATAACTTTATCTTATGTAGATTTTTATAAGATCAATAAACGATTAAGTTTTTTGATGACCGCAGGGACGAAGAAAACATAAGTGCTTTAAATCCTATTGGGTGCCGACGCTAACTTATATGTAAAAGTCTCATATCCTTGTCAAGATGCATATCACTCTTATTGCCTGTTCATTATTAGAGCATTCACTGTACCACTCACTTGCTTAGATATAGTGCTCTGTCATTCTATTTTTGACCACGGGATGCGATCGCCGTCGGCACTGGCTAATCACAACCGGAGGGTCAGGGTCAGGGGCAGAGACCCAAAAGCGAAAGCCCCGCTGGCGAAACACGTTCCGCCGGGACCAGATGTTGAAGCTCTCGCCGCTACCGCCATCGCAGGGCGCACGTCAAAGCGGGCGGGATTGATAAGATTACGGACTGCTGACTACTGCTCGGTGTGGCCTATGTATGTAGCACCAGCTGTTGGCTTCTGGACACCCCATCTCGCGTGGAGAGCTAACGTGGTGGGTGCGTACGGAGATGGAATTCATTTCGCTGCGATCTGCCGCCCAGAGCTGACAAACCCAGAGACCAGAGACCATGACCACCTCCGCTGATAGTGTGTTCGTTTCCCGTTCCGATGGCATCTCCGCCGAAGGAGTCCGGGACCAGTATGCCGATGGCAAGGCCGCCAAGGTGTGGGAGATCTTTATCGGAGACAAGAACTCCCGTACGGACAACTACAAGAACTTCCTGATCGATATGTTGCGGAAGAAGGGCTGCAAGCGGGTCCTAGATGTGGCCTGTGGAACGGGGTAAGTCATGAGGAGAGATGGCCTTGGAAAAAATTAAGGTTTCGACTTATTTTTGCATAAAATAGCCTTCGTATTCTAAATCATTTAAATATTTTTTTCCAGTGTCGACTCTCTTATGCTTGTGGAGGCTGGGTTCGAGGTGGTTTCCGTTGATGCTTCTGACAAGATGTTAAAGTATGCTCTCAAGGAGCGCTGGAACCGTCGGAAGGAGGCTGCCTTTGACAGTTGGGGTGAGTTAGCCGAGAGGAACTCCAAAAACCCCTATACTAAATAACATCCTCTTAAATCTGGCAGTCATTGAGGAGGCCAACTGGCTGACTCTGTACGATGACATTCAGGAGCATATCAAGGACGGTTTCGATGCTGTGATCTGCCTAGGCAACTCCTTTGCCCACTTGATGGACGGTTTTGGGGATCAGCGGGAGCACAAGCAGGCCATAGGCAACTTTGAGAAGTGCCTAAAGCCAGGTGGCGTTCTGCTAATTGATCACCGCAACTATGATAATATCCTCGAGACTGGAGCCACGCCCGCCAAGAGCATCTACTATAATGTGAGTATTTATATTTAATAATTTAAAGAATTTAAAATGATGTTCAGAGATACTGAATTTCGTCAGTGGAATTATGCCACATCATTTCTATATTAATTAAAAACTATTAAATGACACATTCCATTCAAAAACAACCAAATACTGTAGCGTCATCGTGGCGATAAGAGCGGCTGCTGCTGCTGATCTTGTTTTCGATCCAAGAGCAATTGCATCGCTCACAGATTTCCCCATCATTATCAACCTTATCGGTTTCACGGCTTTCGATTTAATTAATCCAACCTAATCCAACTTCTACGAATGACTTGGGACTTATTACAGACGAGTCACACAGCGGACATCAAGACATCCGTGCTTTTCTATTGCGGCAAGCCAGCCCTGGTCTCCATGGACTACCTGATCGCTGGAAACAAACTGACCAGCGAGTTCCGCCTGTCCTACTATCCCCACGAGCTGAAGCGCTTCCGTGAGATCCTTGGCGAAATCTTTTCGGAGAAGGCCAAGCACCAGCTGTACGGCGACTTCAAAGAGATGAGCCTGGTAAAGAATCCTGCCTTCTACATCCACCTGATCGAGAAGCCCGAGGTATAGGTTTAAGAAATTAGTTTGTATTCCACATAAGGTCACAGAACACACATCTACATAAATATACATTATAAAGTTCCTCGAAAGCACACAGAGTCGTCTTCCAAATTCCCTCCTTCTAAGCCAGAATGCAGTACCGCCCCACAATGGAGGCGAAGCACAGGGTAACCATGGCTGCCTCGATTACAAAGGGTACTTTCGCCTTCACAAAGTTGAACAGTCCGGTATACAGACTGGATAGGGTAGTCAGTAGGGTCGACGTCATCTCGCTTCCGCCAAAGTCAGTTTCAGACTGACAACTGAAACGTAAATAAAATCGAAAACACAAAAGGTATGGGCTACGAATTAGCGTTGCAAATATTTCGATTTAAAGAGAGGCTAAATGCTCGAAAGGCGAATTACAATCAAATACAGGAAAAATTCTATTAAGGTCTAATTTTTCTCTGCTTGAATCTGGTTACAAAAGTTTTCAAGAAAATGTAAAGATTTGACTTTATAGTACGGAAAAATACCAACATTGAATCATAGTATTTGTTACTTTTTTCTCTTTTAATAATTGTTATAAAACGTTTATTTTGGTTCCTTCCTGCACAACAAATTTCATCGGCGCTATAATACATTCTTATGAAGTAGACTGTTCTCCCGCTTGTTCTTTAACACAGTATACCGTATTTAAGTTTTAAATACAATATCAAATGGAGGATCGTCTGGCCTACACCTCTGACGCAATTTCATTAACATGCCGCCGAATACAAAAATAATCAAGAGAAAGAGAAAGAAAAAAACTAAGCCAGCTTGGGGACTTAATCGACAAAGTGTTTATTTTATTATTAATAGGTTTCAGTTCCTTTACACCAGTTCAGCTTTACTTTATCAACGGAATCGTGGCGAATCACAAGAGTGTGTCGTCACATGCCAACTATCTTGTTGATGCGCTTAACGTCGATGATCTGGCGATTGATTTCGCCGGTCAGTTGGGTCAGAATCTCCTTTATGGTGCGGTGCTGGTTCTCCGGCAGCTCGTACGCATTCTGTTTGAGCTCCTCCTGACTCTTGGCGATATGATAGCGCTGTTTGTTGAGGGACTTTTTGGCTGCATCCAAACTGGCCGCCAAGCCCTTTGTGACCGTGTTGAGGCGCGTCACCTCCTGGGAGAACTCACGCTCGGCGACAATATGGTTCGGCAGCGCAGCATTGGCCTGCTTCATCAGGTTGTAGCATTTCCGGACAAGCAGCTCCTGGTTGTAACTTATCTCCTCAAAGCGTTCGGCCAGCTTGTGGGCACGCTCGCTGATCAGCTCGCGTTCCTGTTCCAGATCCTGGATTTCCTGGAGCTGCTGCTCTTTCTTTAGCTGGATCTGGTTGATGTGGCGTGCAAACGCGGTGCTCACCAGGTCGTGGCGTTTCAGGTACTGTTCGCGAAGCACATCTATTGCTTGGTTGAGCAGCTCGTAGCTCTCCTGCGCGGAGGGCGAGGAGAGCTTATCCGCCAGTATTGGCTGGTTGACACTGCGTTGCAACAGCAACTTGATCGTGTCCACAAACGACGGTCCACTCTCCTGTTCATCAATATCCAGGCCGGTCTTCGTGTGCTCACTGGGTGTCACCAGTAGCTGGGGATCGATAACCAGCTTGAGACTGACCACCTGACCGCTGCCCAGCAGGATGACCACTCCAGCAGGCATCTGCAGAAGGGCGATGCCCAAGACAGCGTTAATTTCCGCGCTAGAGTTGAACTTGGTGCACAAGATGTACTCCGCACGGGAAGAGGCGGTCAACTCTAGTCTATCATGCTCGGCCTCGCTGTCTAGGTAGCGCTGCAACTCTGAGATGAAGCTCACGGTGACCACATGCAGGCCGGCGTTGTGGTAGGCAAAGTACCGTAGCTCGTTTATCAGATCACGTTTCAAGTGGATGGGGCAGTTGTAGGCGGTCCCAGCTCCAGTTTTCGAAGATGACGAGAGACCCAGCTCCAATTCCACTGTCTCCAAAACGTGTATGACATACTCGGCGGGCTCGATTAGTACAAAGTCATCCACCTCGTTGAACGAATGCTCGGCGGCCTCCGCCTCCATGAGCAAGGCATGATGCAGCTTTCCATTGGATTCGGCCATCACCACGGTAGGCGGCAGCGAAGGAATGACCATAAGGGCGCACGACTCTAGACCATAATTGTCGCGAGCTTGGGGCGTAATGGTAATGGGGCCCTGCAGACGCGTCTTCTCCGAGTCTAGGCCAGTCAGTAGGATATAGATGTTGCCGTTCTCGCGCAGCACCAACACGGGCCACTCGATCTTCGCCTGCTTCTGCACGGATTTCGCCGCCTGCAAGGTCTGGTTTCTCTGACTGGCTGTAGTGTCGGCCGTAGTTACATTATCCTGATCTGCATTACGGGGCTTGACTGCCGGAGCAATGTCAAAGTCGACGGCCACCTCACCAAAGTCGGTGAGAGAGGTGTTGGACGTGCCCCGCATTACTGAGGGACCCACTTGCCACACATGGCGCAACTTGGCGTGGTTGTAGACGCGAATGGTGTTGTTGTTAAGCAGCACCAGCAGTGTGGAGTCGGAGACTGAGTGCGGATGCCAGCGGATTTGGCGCACCTCCAGTGGGCTGTTCTGGAACAGCTGTGTATCCAGGCTGAATGTGCGGCATGTGATCTTCGCCTTGCCGTCCTTGAAGTAACCGTCGGGGCCCCAGCGGCGTGGTAGCTCGAGGATGGTAACGCCGCGCGGACCACCCAGCGCCACCAAAGACCCCTCGTTGGAAGCCAGCACGCGGTCCACATCTAGGCCCACGGCGTTGGCCGGTATAAGCGTCTGACACTGTATGCCGCCGGAGGCATGCTTGCCCTCCGGATCCGTTAGCGAGGCACGCCAGTTGCGCACTAGCAGGCAGCTGTCCTTTGCGTCCCAGGCGAACAGCAGGTCGTCCTTGCAGTCCAGCAAGTTTTGGGTTTTTTGCACCAGCGGCAGGCCATGGCGGATCTTCTCGAATAATTCCTCCTTGTTTAGTTCCAAAATATCTGTGAGCGACATGGTCCTTAGTTTATGTCACGCTCATAAACAGAATAAACAAAAACGTAAACTTAAACAAACTTCTGAATAAAATTAGCGTTTTGAACAAAAGCGTGACCGGACTGAATTTTAAAATGTTCTGCCACCGGATATTTCCTGCTTGGCAGCTGGGCACACTTTTACGCATAGTAACGTAATCCAAAACGTAACAGTTAACAGAAACGTAATAAAAAAAAGTGCTAGAAACAAATTCAAAAACCGGAAATGTTACAAGGTCCTGACAGAATATTATTAAATAATAAATAAATAAAGCAAAAAAAACTGCTGGGTTAGTTAGTAAATTTCATAATTTTAGGGTATGTAATTGTATTTATTTCATCATGCTTAAATTTTCTTAAGAACATTTTTAACAGAGCTTTAAAAAATTAAGAAAATGAATAAGAGTCTCTTAAAATGATAAGGGATAAAAAATAATTAATACAAATAGTTTTGCCTGGATGATTATAGATATAATTCTATAACCCGAAATATCTAATTCCCTAAGATATTTATTTACAACCAACGCCGGTTGGAATTTAAATGTTTACTAATCAAGCTTAATTAATATTTAATATATTAGTAACAACCACATTTAGATTCGTTTTTGGATCTCTATGAGTGGCACAACTTTCAGCTTCAGTGTTATATCCTCCACGAAATAAAGATCCTCAAAGGGAAAGCTTGTCCTAAACTTGTAATTTCTTAACAATTTGGCCAGTGTCACTTTAGCCGAAATTAAAGCATATCTCCAACCTGAAATTAAAAGTCAAATAATTATTGAATTAAAGACATTTCAGTTTCTGAAAAATATATAAATCTACCTATGCAATTCCTGATACCCTTGGTAAAGGGTATGAATGCGTATGGGTGCTTATCCTGCATATTGTGGGGCAAAAAGTGATCAGGATTAAAGGTCTCTGCCTCGGGTCCCCATATTTTCTTGCTCCGGTGCATGTGGAACATGTCGATGGCTATCTGAACCCCCTGAGGTATCACAATTCCGTTGGACAACTTTAGATCCTGCGAAGTTTGTCGAGATACTACAGGCACTGGCGGCACAACACGCATTGATTCGTTCAGGATCAAGTCCAGATACACCATCTGCTGAATATCAGTATAGGTCACTTCGAAGTCTCCGGTATTTGGGAACAGGCTGCGTATCTCCTCGAAGGCCTTCTCTTGGTATTCAGGAAACATGGCCAACAGCATTAGGGTATAGTAAACGGTATTTGCCGTGGTCTCGAAGGCTCCGAAAACAATTATATTGGACTCGTCCACCACATTTTTCCAGCTAAACACACCCCGTCTTAGTAGATCCGTGGCTACGTTGAGAAATATGTTCTTGTCACTGGATTGGATGGATGACAATGACGATTCCTTTGCATCTGCGATCATCTTTTTCTGGATGAGCTGAAAGGGATTAAGAGAAAGTATCAATAAAGTTGGCTAAGATATCCTGCGGGACCCTTACCTTTTGATAAACTCACGGATCTCGGTCTTGGCCTGGTAGTACTGCGATTCCTTGCCAACCAACTGGCGTATAAATCGGCTATTGAGCCACGGCGAGAAGCACATATCTGCCATGGTGTTCAGAGCACTATTAATGCATAATGCAGCAGTCCGAATCTCGTTCAACACTCACCATTGATACCGTTCCAGCAGGGAGTTGCTCCTAAAGTTCTCTTCGCTCTTTGCATCGCTTCCCATAGTGGTTTCTTTATAATACAGAATAAAAGCAATATTAAATGGACAAGCTCTAAGGAAGAAGGACTCGTTGAGTAACTTACGCGTAGCTACGCTCAAGGTAAAGCTCTGTAGCAGTGGTATAAGATCCTTCTCTCCATCGTTCTCCAGAGGCTTCAGTTGATCCAAAAGCAAAGCCGTCTCTCGGTTGAAAATGGGCAGGAAACTGAGTAGAACCTTGTGGCTAAAGGCGGGATTCAGCAACTTGCGATGGATGCTCCAGGAAGGATCTAGGCGAAGTCGTAGATGAGTAACTAAAACATATTCTCTACCAAACACACACACCCTTTAAGCTAAATAGTCCCATGCCGGCTCCATCGTCCACCGCCTTGTAGATGATGCCCTTATTGATGCAGTGCGGCGAGGTGAATATATCCTGAATCACCTGTGGATCGCTGACAATCATAAAAGGAATGGGTCCAAGCCATGAGAATATAACAGAGCCATGCTTCTCCAGAAAGATGGCAAACGAATTGAGGATATCTACATGGAGACACCAACATTATTATCCTTTATAATCCAAAGTATCATTTCCGAGCACCTTCACGACGGCTCAGCCAGTGGGCCATGCCCAGTAGGGGATATCCAAGTGGCCCTGGGACCTTGAGAGCAAACAGGTAAAACCTGCGCCGACTCCACAGGAAGTAGAACCATAGGAGAAAGACTAAGCTACACCATAAAGTCCAAGTCAGCATGCTGATAATCCTTGATTCGTATACAATCCGATTTCTATTCCGATTTCGACCGAGCAACCGAGTGATTTGAAGTGCGCCAACAGAGTGATTGCCCAATTTCCAGACGATCGTCTTTTTATAAGCCGGACGTGATGCCTGCTTTGGGTCGCGTTCGATCTATTGTCACGCTTAGTGCTCAATAATCGACCCGACTCCCCCAGCGAAGAAAAAAGAAAGAGCTACGAGCTAGGTGAGTCCCGTCGTCGTAGTGTGCCGTTTTTTATTGGTATCAACAAGGGGGGTCGCGCATACAAATCGCTATAATTTTGACTAATGGCCAGCGGTGACACGCCAAACACTTTGGGAATGTGAATTGGGCAATACAATCGATCTAATACGTCATCGATTGGGACGCGATCTGGGAAATCGGTGCTAATTATTACGTTGTGCAACCCATCAAATACTTAAATCGGCCTTGTCCCTAGTTCTGAGTAAAGAGTGGAACTAGTAAAGTGGCCAGAATCCAATAATTGTAGCAATAAATAGATCAATAACCCCCATAGAAAATAATTCCTAGATCAATTATTATTTTCAAACATTTTTCCATCATAACGTGCAATACATTAACAATGCAATGTAATTCTTTTCACGGGGATTACCAAATGAAAACAAAAATTATTTGTTGTATTATTTATTAAAAATTAAAATATTACGCTTATTTGGTTTTGCGAGAATATTCGCCTTAGTCTAGGTAGTATTATGCACGTGTGAAGAATAGGAGAGGCATCGGCATCTCCAGCGATCCGGTGAATGGGCATATATGCTTGGCAACATGTGCGGTAGATATGGTTTACTTTCAAGTTTAAACATATAGAATGAACACCTCGATTTTGCGCTGGCTAAGCTGTGGACTCCGACGACGGCGAGATTACAGCGGAAAATGGCAGAACTTTTTCTGAATTGCTTTTGCGAAAAGTTTGTGTGGAATTTTGAGTTAGTGCGGCGACTCTCTATAGGGGTCACTCTCTAGGACGCCGATCCGTCGTCGGTCACGGCGAGTTTCCCTAAAAAAGATGCACAGGAGAATACAGTTGGAGATGGTTTCTGGTTTCGATCGAGCTGCGAACTCCAAAGCATACAGCGAGGTATAGATATGCGACATAGGCTGGCATTTATTTACAGCAGGTTCCGATCAATGATGAGGCTTAAGAACTACAAAGCAATTAACAGCAATGGGATGGGGGTGCGGGTGCAGGTGCAAGGTTAGAGCGGGTCGGAAGTGAGTTTTGGTCATGCTACATTCGAATACAAACTCGTTCCACACCCAAGATGGGGTTACAGTAAGAAAAGTCAAGCAAAGCAAAGAAACTAGCAAAGACACTGGGTTAGTAGATGGAATAGTTATAGCGACGCCGCTTGGGGTCATCAGTCAGGGGCACGGACGACAAGCTGAGGCCGGAACCCCGGTCCAGCAGGGCGGTGTGCGAGCAGCTGGGCAGCATTGCGCCAGGGTTAGTATGAAGCGAGGTACTACTACTTGAAGGATGGTCGCAGGCAGCAGAGTCTGAGATGCGTGTAAGGCTAGGCCAAGGTGAGTCGGGGTACGAACCAGTTCCATTGTTGTCCAAATGTCCGTTTGATCCCTGGATAGTGGCTGCTCCGTTGGCTCCATTGCTAGTGGCACCTATCAGCGGAGCGCTCGATTTGGTGCCTGCACAGGGGAAGAGAAAATATTATCCATGTATACCTATAAAAATAAAATAAATAACCAAGAAAACGTACCCCCATTACGGGCTATCTCGATGTCTCCATTAGCCAGAACCACCGCTCGTGGAGCACTGACGCCGTTCTCCTCCTCCTTGACGCACTTCACCAAAAAGAGAAGCGAGGAGCCCAGCAACGGTGGCAGACCCGCAAGTATAAAAGGGACGGTATACGAATTGGTTCTGTCGAGAATCATTCCCGCCACTGGAGGTCCCACGGTCAATGGAATGGAGCTGAGACCTAGCAGGAACCCTATAGCCTGAGTGGCTCCCGAGGGACCACAAATTTCATAGGCAATAGGACCCAGCAGTGAGATAAAGCAGCCATCGAAGAGACCCATAACCAGGGTGAAGGACACCAAGACCACATACGAGTTGGTCAGCGGCAAGAGCAGAGTGACCAGGCCGATGGACACTAGGGAAAGCTGTTGCAGGTACATGCGATTCACACCCGGCATATCGGCAATGACGCCGAAGATGAGTCGCCCAATGCCGGAGGTGATGCCTATGCACATCACCGGAAGATTGACATCCTCACCCGGGAAATTCTTCTTTACGAACTGCATCATGTGGACGTAGGGCACAAAGTAGCCGAACAGGGCAAGCGGCACACACAGGGCCCAGATCACAAAGCGCTTTCGCTTCCAGATCTCCACATTAACAATGGAGCGCAGGAAGAGATTGATGCGCGACCTGCCGGGCTTCTTCTTCGGTGGCTCCGGCGGCGGATGCAGCGGCTTGTACACGAAGGAACAAATGATGATGAATGCAGACACCAGGCTCATCATCTGTTAAGAAAGAAACGAATATTAAACGTATTTACCTTGGGAAATAAGCTTCTTCTACTCACCCTTAAGGTGGCCTCCAGGCCATAGCCCACCAGGAGCTTGTCCAGACAGGGCGGCAGTATCACAGTGAAAACGCTGGAGCCGGCTGTGACAAAGCCACTCACCTTGCCCAGATAGCGTTTAAAGTAATGGCCCAGGATGGCCAGGGTGGGCGTGTAGGCAAGAGCCGCGCCCATCCCGAACATAATGCCATAGGTGAAGTACAGGGCGCTGATGTTTTCCGTGAAGAACGAGGAGAGCAGCAGTCCTCCAGCCGAGAGGACACCGCCAGCGAATGTGGTCAGCCGCAGACCGATCTTGTCGGTAAGGCAGCCGGCCACTGTGGAGAAGAGGAATGTGGTGCCAATGGCCAGGGAGCCAATGAGAGCTGTATGGAGAGGGGGAAAGTTATAAAATAAGTGTATATCCCCTATAAAATTCCCAAATAGCCAAGTAAGCTAAGCTGACCAACTGCAAAGACCAATTTCCTTTGACAAATCGAATCTTACGCACTTGCGGTTGATTGTGAAGCGAAGCGATTGAAACCAAGTCTGGATATGAGCCATGAGCCCAGGTGTTAGCTGGGGACTTCCACGTGGATGCCGCAATAGTCGGGAAACCTGATCTACACTCGCGCAAGAGGAGTGGGTTCTAGGACCAAAGTTTAAAGATTTTCCACTGAACTCAGCTGGGGGAATGGGGAGCCTGAATCCAATTGTTTGCGATGCGTAAACACTTTCGCTTGTTCCACTTTGGCACTTTGATTTGAAGCTCGATTGACAGAATCAGGTTAATTCTTTGTTCCCCGCCTGCCAAGCCGATCTAATGCCACGATAAGGTCTCCTCCTCCAGCTGTGCAGCTGCAGCTTCACTGTCCACTTTGGTCCATTGTCTGGGACCGCAAAAAAGGTAACAGATGAAAGTCCAAAGAGACAGAAAATTATCACCAAAAGCTAATCTCTTATCACTGATTTTAGTTTGAATAATGATTAACTTTTAACACTTTAGAAGATCTATTGATACTTCTCGTTACAACCCACAACAATGCGGATTTGAGGCCTCAATCGCAGTGGTTATCAAAAATATAATTGTACGCCGGAACTAGAGATAAGCTTTCGATTCAGCTCGCGTGTCATTTCCAATTTATTACTACAATCTGCGTTCTAAAGTGCCCGAGTTGAATTTTAAAAGCGTTGCGTATACCATTCATAATACTTGCTCATGTATAGACGGGGAGCTACTAACCTCCCTTGACCTTTAACCCCCAGCAATTGATATTTTTGTGCACACATACAGGTCTCTTGCGATTTCACTTTCACATTACTCGGATTTCCCTTGGAGATAAGTGAAATTCTACTGGTGAATATTAAACACTCTCTGGTAAAATATTTTATAGAAATCAAGGAAGTGTTTATAGGACTAGAAATAAAGTCCTACAAAAAATGGGCATCATGGGTTCTAATCGAACATAACTAAGCCAAAAATCCATTAATATTAATTCGGAAAGCTTTTCTTTGCTAGTTTTTGTTAGGTTAATAAATCTGCGTAATCAATTTACTATCTTAAAAAATACAATTTTTTGCCAATTTTTGACAATTTTAACGATGTAAACCCTTATAAAATTTTCATAATTTTGAATAAATTAATTTTTTGTCTGACATAGCTAGTTCAACTCGCCTGTTGTTGCTGATCAAGAATAGATTTCTAGGGTCGGAAATGACTCCTTCACATATGTAGTTATAGGCTTCGGCCTGTAATTATAATACCATTCTTTGACCCAATATTTATCTATATTTTTAAATGAAAATATGTTCTACAAATCAAATTTTAAAATCTCATAAATAAGCCAAAACAGGATTAATTTAATTCGGAAACCACTTCTATGTTAGTTTTTAGTAGTTTAATAAATCTGCATACTCAATTTTAAATTTAAAAAAAATTAGGATTTTGATCAATTTTTGTCAATTTTAACGATGTAACCCCTTATAAAATATTGCAAAATCGAAAAAAAATGTTTCTCTTGAAGATGGCTAGAAAGATTTGCCTGTTGATACTGATCAAGAATAGATATAATTTATGGGGTCGGAAATGACTACTTCACTGCGTTTTACGCTTCTGAATGAACTTATAGTACCCTGTAAAGGTATGAAAGAAGAGACAGGTATCTTTGTGAAGGCAGATTGCAATGGCATCAGGGACGCAAATTTAATATCAATCATAACTAAGCCACTGCCTTGCAAACTATTAAAATATAGCTATTACATGAAAGATGAATACCTTTTCTTTCGTCAAGCTATGTACATACAACTATGTACTTAAAAAATGTAAGTGGAACTAAATCTTAAAATCAGAATCAGTTCCACATGTTAAAATATAAGCCTTTGAAAATGTAAGACTAAATACATCTTGTTCTTAACCCATTAGAAAACGTGAATTCCATCGATAGAATATTTTAAGAACTGCGATACAGAATCTAAGAAATGAAACACCAGCAAAGACCAGAGAAATGCGATTTCCGCATAGAATATATGGCAATATATATAACCCACAAAGTCCACGTACTAAGGGGAAAATGCAGCACATTATCTTAAAATAGAAACTGACCCACTTCGAGCGCCGCATGGATATCTTTGGACCATGGCTAACTGCGCCTAAATGGTGCCACGAGCGGGCACGTAACTCTCCCCCACATGCGCAGAAACCGTCTCCCGCAATCTCGGCCAGCGGCTAGGCAGTCAATGTCAATGCCACATATCACACTCTCTTTCTCAGGCAGTCAATGGCAATCCCACCGAGAGCTGCGTAGAGAACTATTAGATAATACCCACAGACGACGCCACACACACAATGCGAGGCGGTGCCAAAAATCTAAAAAAGAAACCGCGAACGGAAGGGGCTTTACATGGCACCGCTATGGCGTCTGGCGTTCGTCTGAGGAGCAGCCGAAATAGATCGCAATATTTATAGGACGACGCATACTCATAGCTGGCAATTGTTTCCCAATTGAAGTGACAATATCTGACGCAATTCTGGACGCAATTGCATGGCCTGGCATGGCAAGAGAGTTGGCGCGAAAGGCCTACGTTTATTGATCTTGACCTCCGACGATCCGCACGGATGAACCGATGGGCCACCCATCCATCCAATAAGCTCCACTAAGTCGCTGTAATGTGCTTATGGACGTGTGTAATTGACGGAGAGGCTGACAATTAATTGATGAATCGACACCGGCGATAAAAGTAGGGGAAAATATGGCACAAGCGCCGCGCAAGCACAGCACCTCTCCGCAGAGCTCAGGTTCGGATTACGTCAGGTTTTAATCATATTGCGGAACTAGCTGAGCTCCGGCTGAAGCTCTAGCTCTACCTCTAGCCCAGGTTGTACGTTTGGCTCGGAGGAGGATCGCTGTCAGGCGGCAACACTTGGAGGGCTTCCTCGTCAACGCCAGCCGACCAAGTAACTGGGTCAGTGGCGGGTGCACTTTTGCTGGCGGCTTTTGTCTTCTGGCCGGTCAGTCATTCATTCTTTCGTGGAAGCGTCGCCACCGCCGGCCGTGCCCTCAATGCGAAGACGGGCCCACGCTGCGTATGCGTAATGCAGGCCACCGGTCAAACCTTGACAAACTTCGGCAAAATGCACTGAGCCCTTTACATAATGCCAGTTGATTGTGGTTGGGAGGACTTTGAGCTTCCGAAAAATATATATACTTTTTTTTTAAATCGAGAAGCAAATTGTCCCAACTCGTTGCAACTCCGAGGAGTCTTGACATCGCCGTCCACCGTGCTCTTCGCCCTCGCGCCGGGGTGTTGAATAATGCTTTGTGATCCAATCAACTTTTAGCAATTTAATTCACTTGACGTCGGTACGTTTGGATTCCTATATCGTCACAGCTACTACGTACTACCTACAATGTTTTATTGAACCCAGAACAGCCAGCCAGCGGAGAGAGAGCAACAGCAAATCGCCTTGACTGTCAGTCGAATGTCCGTTGGAGATCCGAAACAATAAAATTGAATAATAATAACTTCCGATACAAATTTACTATAAATAACATTGGCTATTAGCGTGTCTCTTTCAACAATCAATATTTGTTTTGAGTCCTAAACGAATTCAATTGAAAATGGAAACAATTTCACAGATCAACCCGTTTATGTCCCCAAGTGGGGATGGTATAAGTCAAGGATATAATAAATGTTATATTATTGGTATTTAACACGAAAGTATACATAAATCCATACTTTGCAATATTTTGTTCTTATTTGCATATGATTATATATTGCTCCGATTTAACATAAAAATAAATATATACATGTTGATTAAGAAATAGCAATAAAATATTCTCTAATAAAACTGCAATTAAACAGAATCTGATTTATGTTTCTATTTAACATTTCGACTTGATTCAAATCAATGTCGGTGGCCCCCAGGCCATAACGTATAATTCATTCTATTTAGAGTACTTGGCAGGCAAGCTCCCGCTGAAACAGATAGTCGCCTGCAAAACAACAACTGCCCAGTTCCCATCTAATCTCATTTGGTCTCCTCCCTGCATAATTACAATCAACGCCAGCAACTTGCCATAAATGTGGAATTAATTTGCCGCGGGCTAAAGGGATTATTGGGTCCAATTGCTGACGCTGATTCAGAGCACTTGCTTTCTTGGGAAGATGTCACATAGGAAGATAGATACTCACCCGCCTTGCTGGAGGCCTCGGTATCCCCGATGGCTGTGAGACGGTCCTTAAGCAGCGAATGGAGGACGCCGTATGTGTTGATGAAGCCGAAGATGATGCCGTTGCAGAGGAAGGCACTGACCATCACCAGCCAAGCCCGAGCTCCTCCGTCCGGCGGCTCCTTGCCGTGTATGTCCCGACAACAGGGCGCCTCGATATGTGTCCCGTTGCCGTTTTGCACCGGAGCAGGCGCACCCTTGCCGTTGGCATGCACCACCTGACCGTTGATGGCCGACGTGGCATGTCCATTGGTGGCGGGCAGAATGCGACCATTCACCTGCTTCTGGGTCTCGTTCAGCGGCTCGTTCTCCGCCATGATTGGCTAAGAGTGCTGGCTGGAAATATATTTACCTAGAAAGTGGGACTGGGATCAGTAATCGGTCAGCCACATTGCACCCAAATGTGGACTGTTGTTGACTCGCCGCCGCTGCCTGCCGAAATGATAGGAGCGAGAATCATTTGCATTTCCCCATCCCGGAATTCGGGAAATTATCGCAGACTGACGGAATTGGCTAGTTAAATATTTGGGCACGTTTATCACTGTTTGCGCCCCCGACTAAGGGGAGTATGCAGTTTACACATTGCCTGCAATCCAATCCAGAAATCCAACTAAATGGGAGACAAAGGCACGTATTGCAATGCAATCCCTTCGTGAAGGGTGGGGAATCTAGCTGATAGCGACTTGTTGGGGAAGTTTGTTTCTAACCAAGATAAAGCTTTATAAACTTGTACATTTTTAATGTTTGAAATGTTCTAAGGGCTTTAATTGTTGCTTTTCTAAAATCTATTACAATCTAAAAATTTAATTTCTTTTAAGAATATAAAATTCTGATATAGTGTCTTTTTGTAGGACTCAACTTTTTGATATTATTAATATTATTGCATAAAACTGATTGGATTGCATGGATTGGTATAACCATCTAAGGTTTCGTTTGCTCAGAGGCTCAAATTAATATGCAACGACATAAATTTCTCTCATATCAGACACAGCTAGTAGTCTTGGATTCAGATTTCTCAGTTTAGTATCTGGTCAGCAACATTGTAATGCATTTTTGAGCTGCGCAGAATGCAGATTGCATTACAAGCGATAACTGAAATTCGTCGCATTTCTGAGATACATATATGCACGCCCTTGCAGAGTGTCCCCGCCCTCTGTCTCGTACGGGTACGGCTACGGGTTGGCTCTACGTCTACGGTCTGCTTGGTTCTGCAAACGTTTCTTTTTCCCCTCAAAAAACACAACAAAACCGAACCGCATTGGCGAAATTTCAATGTAACACGAGTTGGGAGGGAAACATTCCCGCTTTCTGTCTTGGCGACGGCTATCGCAGAAGTTCGCACTATCAACGGCGTCGTGCACGTGCCCGCTCGATGACGACGTACTGCCACCCAGTCCCACCCGGGGGGTCACTGCCGAAATCGAAGGTCAGCGGGCAATGGTCTGGCCATTATGCAACAACCGGCAACAGTCGCTGTTCCTGGAGGCTTCCCTACGTACTTGTAAGCCGGAACTCCAGTCCAGTCCCGCAGGCGCAGGCCTTAGATCCACTAAAAGTCTCCGGGATTCCGGCGCGAACCGTGGTATCGAGGAGTGCGAACAGGGGTGACGGTCGGCGGCTAACGAACGGGTGGAGGAGAGCTTCGTGCGAGCACACAACCGAGCGCTTGCGTCGTCGACAGCGGAATGAAGAAAACTGAATTATTTTCCACGAGCTGTTTGCGAAAAAAATTCGTTCGCTCACTTGGCTCCCGTGCCTCAAGCACCTAATCAGAGAAACAGAGCAGCGGCAGCGCCGGCGGCGTTCTCTGCGGTAAACAAAAATTCACCTAGGCAACCGCGAAGATGGGCATAAAAACAAACGAGGCGCTAACGGGAGCAGATAACCAGCCACTCCGGGGTGATGTTGCTACTCCAGTTCCAGCTTCAGCTGCAGCTCCATCTCTCGCTCTAGTTGCAGACAAACCACATGATCAAGGGCGGGATTTTGCGTTCAAATTGAAAACGTCTTTAATTGATCAATTCCCAGAATTAGAAACTGAAGCAGTGTCTTCAATTGGTGGCATAGGTGACTGACTGGCAAGTGGACATATCCGCCGCAGCCACCAAAGAGGAGCAAGCTTTTCAAAAGCGCTCAACAAGCTCTGACCCCAAACTGACTCATCCGGCGAATTGTTCGCTCCTGACGCTGGCGCCGGCGCTTCCTCTCTGTTAAACAGCGGATCAAAGGCCCGTCGAGTGCGTTCTTTGAGTGTGTATATATTTCGAGTGGGTGGACTCCCGCGGGAGCAAGAGCCCTGGCCACGTGTAAGATGTTAGATGAATTGTACAAAATGTAAAACTTACTTGTTAGTGGAAGATTCAGTTCGATTAATTTATAATAATACTAGCTAAATCGATCGGAGGGCTTCACAACTTGAGTGGAGGAGCACCGTCGAGGGACATGGGCAGAGCGGGTGGCAGCACGGGCTCTGGATGATCCACAATCAGCTTGAGGTTCCTGTCAGGCCACTCTAGCACGAGTCGCTGCATCGGCTCACAGTTCTCGTCCAGACCCGCGCTGCGGAAGTCCTCCATCAGTCGTGGAACCAAATCATCAGGGATCATGACTTGTACCCAATAGCCAAGGACGCCGTAAGGCTCACTAACACTCACCGCCGATCCGGTTACAGTTTCAGCCAACAAAGTTAGCGCCAGGTGTTGCGCCTTGAATGTGAAGTGGCGCCCGTGCCGAATACGATCTTTTATGGCCAGCAGCAGGTACTTGGCCACGGTGGGCGCCAGCGTTATCTCGATGCCGTCCAGGGAGATGCAGTTGGGTGCCTGCGGCTGGTAGTCCAGCGGACAGGATTTGTGTAGAGAGTTGCTGCTCATTGACATCGAGACCGGGAAGCTTGGTTCTTCGCGCTTCAGCATCGTCTCCGTCAGAGGCCGATTGTTCTCCTCGTTGGCACACTTCTCACTCAACGACTGAAAGTCTATCTCCTGCTTCACTGCTTTGGTGGACTTCAGCTCGCGGAAGGTGAAGTCCGCGTTGACGCCGGCCAGGTCAGAGCCCTGCTTCTCCAGGTCATCCTGCAGGTTGAGCAGAGTCTCGGGAAACAGCTCGAACACGCTCATCGTGCGTTCCATGTTGGTGACCAGCCAGTCGCCGCCCGTCTGCACGTCCTGGCGCAGGAAGTTGAGAACGCCGCGACCATTCCAGCGAGAGGCCTGCTCCAGCTCGTTCTCAAACACGCCGACAATCTGGCAAAAGTCCACGGTGCCGAACGGGGTCTCAATGCAGCCCAGCTGCGGGTCCTGGGCCACTAGCAGGCTCTGCAACTTCGAGTTTTCGCTGCCATCCAGGCTCTTTCGCCACGGAATATTGTCCCCGAAGCACAGTCCGTTGCCTGTCTGGAAACAGTATCGTCCAATGGCCTGCAGAAGGTTGGCCGGCCAGGTTGGCGGACGCTGCGGCTTCTCCGGGCTCTCGATCTGCTGTCTCAGCTCCGCCTCAGACTTGGCCAGGCGGAAGGTGAGCTCAAATCCCATTCCCGAACGTGTGCTCTCCTCCTCACGCAGGTGAACCCGCTCATCGCCGTGCAGGTCGCTCAGTCCGAAGCTGATGTAGTGCCAGTGCGGTGGTATGTTCCTCTCCGGGTCTCCGGGGTAGTTGTACATGCTGATGTAGTCCAGCGGATCCTGGCCGCCCAGCCAATACTTGAGCAGCGTGGTTACCTGCAGGGGGTTCCGCTGCTCGGGGTACACCTGCGACAGGTGGTCGATGATGGCCTTTAGTCCCGGAGGAGGCTTCACTTCCGGTTTTTTGTCCAAGTTCGCTTCTGCCATTGCATCCAGTGGATTCGTCAAAACATTGATGGCCTATCGATAAGTGGTTGGTCGCAGTAAATAGTCTTAAAACTATCGCTTTGTAAAAATACCAACAGCCAGTACTATCATCTAATTTTATAAAAAAATATGAACATATTTGTACTTTGTAAACTATGTTCAATTAAATTGACTTAATTTTTAAAAATTGGATGGGTATAAATCTGTTTTCCCATATTTTTCTGCAAAACCGATATCAAGAATAGAGAACCAACGATAACGATTTTTTACATTTTGGTATTTGCAGAGTTATTTTTTTAACGGCACACCAACGGTCACACTTACGAACTATTAAATAGAAAATTTGCAAATTTTTAAAAACGCACAAAATGGAGCCTTATGATGTCGTCGTTAACCAGCCCGTCGTCATAGATAACGTAAGTGCAAGAAGGGACCCCCAAACACCGTATATCAGCAGGAGCCGGCCAGTTTCAGGCGTTTTTCCAGAGGACAGTGACATCACCTGGTGCCCGTCCCTTTGTCAGCAAGCTTTCAAGCCGTCTTCGGTTGGCCAACATGACTAATAGAGGAAACAACAACTTCGCCAGATGCCAAACTTGGTTTATTTTTCAAACTGGCAATTTAGATCCAGAGATTGGATGATAGCTTTAGTTAACGCCCCAGCACACGGACACATGGCGCTGGGAATCCAAAGGCACTGCCCCTGGCATGGCGCCCCGTCAACTGAAAGCCCCTAGCAAACTCTAATTTGCGGCTGTACTCCATCGGATATACCACCGGTATGGGGTCCACATGCGAGGGAGTGCGCTTCTTTAAAATCTCCAGTTGTGGGTCCAGCTTAATGCCGCACTTGCCGTTGTGAGTGCTGAACCTCTTGGGGCGCAACAGCTTGTTGTAGGGGTCGCGGTACTGGTCCCTGTAGTTCTGGCAGTCCATGTAGAATGAGTCAACCTTGTACATTTCGCCGTAGCTGATGTTGTTAAGTCCAATCCGGGGCACAAACTTCAAGATCTCATTCCGCTCGTTCTGTGAGTTTTTGGACACCATCACCATGTCAACCTCCGGCACACTGAAGACTTCCATGCTTATAATTTAGATTTTCTCGTTTACACACAACCAATTTTTGTAAATTCACTAAAGTTATGTCAACTTGTGAATCTTTACAGGGCTCCGGTGTGATCAAAGCCGGCTTTGCTGGCGAGCACATTCCAAAATGCAGGTTTCCCAATTAGTAAGTACCCTAGACAACAATCCCTCTGTTTGTTAGATTTATTGACTTACTTCCTACAGCATTGGCCGGCCCAAGCATGTTCGGGTGATGGCTGGCGCCCTGGAGGGCGACATATTCGTTGGTCCAAAGGCAGAAGAGCACCGTGGTCTTCTCAGCATCCGGTATCCTATGGAGCACGGCATTGTCACCGACTGGAATGACATGGAGCGGATATGGAGCTACATTTACAGCAAAGTAAATAGGTTTTTATATGGCAGTAGTAACGCTTCCTAGCAATGTAACTCTTTTTTAATCAGGAACAACTGGCCACCTTCACGGAGGACCATCCTGTTCTGCTGACCGAAGCCCCGCTTAATCCGCGCCGCAATCGCGAGAAGGCAGCCGAGTTCTTCTTCGAAGGCATCAACGCACCTGCGCTATTTGTCTCCATGCAGGCGGTGCTTAGCCTGTAAGTATTTCCAGGAACTGTCGGTATAAAACTCTCCTTAACCGATTGTAACTCTGTAGATATGCCACCGGTCGCGTCACCGGCGTGGTCCTCGACTCCGGCGACGGTGTGACGCATGCGGTTCCCATTTACGAGGGATTCGCCATGCCTCACAGTATTATGCGCGTGGACATCGCCGGGCGCGATGTGACGCGATACCTGAAGACACTCATCCGCCGGGAGGGCTTCAACTTCCGGTCGACTGCCGAATTTGAGATTGTGCGCTCCATCAAGGAGAAGGTGTGCTACCTGGCCACCAACCCGCAGAAGGAGGAGACCGTGGAGACGGAAAAGTTCGCCTATAAGCTGCCCGACGGCAAGACCTTTGAGGTGGGACCAGCCCGCTTCCGGGCGCCTGAAGTCCTCTTCCGGCCTGATCTACTGGGCGAGGAGTGCGAGGGCATACACGACGTTCTGATGTACTCCATCGAAAAGTCGGATATGGATCTCAGAAAAATGCTCTATCAGAACATTGTGCTCTCGGGCGGTTCCACTTTGTTCAAGGGATTCGGTGATCGCCTGCTCTCTGAGCTCAGGAAGCACTCGGCCAAGGATCTCAAGATCAGGGTGAGATATATCTAACTTACTTAGGTAATGTGAGTAGTGGGTTACTCATTTTTTGCATTCACAGATTGCTGCACCTCAGGAACGACTCTATTCCACTTGGATGGGCGGTTCCATTCTCGCCTCGCTGGACACCTTCAAGAAGATGTGGGTCTCCAAGCGGGAGTACGAAGAGGAGGGACTGCGGGCCGTGCACAGAAAGACTTTTTAGTGTGTTTACTAGCTTAAACGCCGTATGTGGAAAGGCTTATTAAAATTTATATCAAACCCTTGTGTCAGCTAACATCAAGTACCCCGAGAAATCCGATACAACTGTGTGTATATGTTTTATGCATCAAATATGGGCGCAAAGTATTTAAAATGCTATTTATTGAAACTGCTTTCCCAACAGCCTAGAAAATAAAGTACTAAAGTTAATAAATCAACCTGGATGCTTATTTGAAGCTGATCGTAAAATAAATTAAAATGAATTGAAGACTAAGAAACTGCAGGGTATCTTTGGAATATAAATAACTTTAATTAAAATATGTATGTACATATGATATTAAGCGCAGCATATATCCCAATGGCCATTAAATCCATTACATAAATAGGTACACCACACTGTACGAGTATCCATTGCGAAGAACTGGTGTCGCTGGATTCAGAGGTCGTCGGTGCCATGGGAAAGCCTCTGCCCAAGATCATGTCGCAGTCATTAATAGTAGAACACGCTATGGGGTGACGATCCATATTCTCGGCGACAGACTGTGCCATTAGAGTCGGGCGGCAATCCTGTTCGTTTTCGCATTTCCATCTTTGCAGACGAAAGTATTTGGGAAAGTGAAGCTTGCCGTAGTGATCACGATAGTGGTTCATGCATCTCTGACAATCCAAATTCTCCACATCTAAAACGGACAAGGGTACAGTTTCGGGAATGACGTTTCGAACTATTTGAGGTTCCTCCTCTAATTTGTTGGAAATGTCCCAATATTTCGCGTCGGGTATGGGAAATAGCATATTTTTGTTAATGGAAAACATGTCTACAACAAAATTTTAAGAATTTAAATAATTGAACGTTTTATGCTAAAGAATATATAACAAGGCCTACTTGATTTAAAAGTTTTTTAGATATTCATTTTATTTTTTGAAGCACCGAAGTTTTGGCTGTTAAAACGTATTAAGTTATTTAGTCAGAGGCCTAGAACAATGTGAAGGAGTCATTTCCGACCCTAGAAATCATATATATTCTTGATCAGCATCAACAGGCAAATCTTTTAAGCCATGTCCAACAAAAAGCTCATTTTTTCATAATTTTATTAAAAAAAATGTATAAGGGGTTATATCGTTAAAATTGTCAATAATAGATAAAAGTCCTATTTTTTTAATTTAAAATTGAGTATGCAGATTTATTAAACTACTAAAAACTAACATAAGAGTGATTTCCAAATTAAAATCAATGCTCTTTTGGCTTAGGTTTGCGATTTTTTAATTTGATAATATAGATAAATATTGGTTCAAAGAATGGTATTATAATTACAGTCCGAAGCCTATAACTATGTGAAGGAGTCATTTCCGACCCCATAAATCACATATATTATTGACCAGCATCCAAAGCAGAGTCGATCTAGCTATGTTTGACAAACATTTAATTTTTTCAAAATTTTTGAAAATTTTATAAGGGGTTACATCGTTAAAATTGACAAAATTTGATAAAAATCCTATTTTTTCATAATTTAAAATTGAGTATGTAGATTTGTTAAACTACTAAAAACTAACATAGGAGTGGTTTCCGAATTAAAATTATTGCTCTTTTGGCTTAATTATGAGATTTTAAAATTTGATTTGTAGAACATATTTGCATATAAAATATAGCTTAATTTTGGGATAAAGAATGGTATTATAATTTTATTCAGAAGCAGTCATTTCTGACCCCATAAATCATAAATACTCTTGATTTTTTGAAAATTTTAGAAGGGGTTACATCGTTAAAATGGTCAAAAATTCACAAAAAGTTTACTTTTTTAAACTTTGAAATTAAATATACAGATTGATTAGCTCTATAAAAACTAGCACAGAAAAGCTCGCAGAATTGAAATTAATGAAGTTTTGGCTTAGTTATGATCGATTGCGCATTGATTGATTGATCCTATGGCTAACGGCGACTTATCGAAGCTAGCTCAATTTCTTGTTTAAGCTCAAATTCAATACCTTAAAGGGTACAATCCCTTAAAGAATAAAATCAAATTATCCCCACAGATCTCTCGATAGCAGTTAACCCAAAATAAATCAATAAATCGAAATTTTAGCTACATCAAAGCTCCTGTCATTAGTCATGAAACCCTCGAAAACGCTCTTTCTGGCCAAGAGAGCCGCAAACCCGTCTCGTTTGCAGGCCGTGCTCTCTTGGTTGGGAATCATTTCAGTCCGCTGCCAGTTGTTTAATCGTTTGGTTGTGTCGACAACACCGTCTCCACGACAACATCGCTGTCAGGAGAAGTATCAACAATTGTTTTGTAGCCAATTTGAGGAGACAATGAAAACCAAAACCACTCGATTCGAACATTTTTGAGCTTTTTGCTACGGCTTGCGAATTGTTTCCAAAAAGCAGCGGTGTGTGACCGAAAACCAAACTCAAATCGTGAAATAATATATAGCTTACATTCATTCATAATGGCTCAGGTGGCGGCAGGTGGTGGGGATCGAGTTAATGAAACCGAGGTGAGTCCAAAATAATTCTATCTTATAGTTTGTCATATTCAGCAAACTCTCGCACTGACCTTGATCTTCGTCGTATATCTGGTCATGAATTATTTATTTATTCGTGCGAATGAGCCATACCCCCGACATATCCCCATTTCTACACACATCTCCATTTCCATCCCCATCCGTAATTGCCAGTTCCTGCAATTCTCGTTGCTGTTGTCTTTGTTTGGAATGTTCGTGCAGTTTAAAAGTGATATGTGCCCGCCCGGACCCGTTTGCCTTATGCACCTTAAACTCCGATGAGCTGTGCGAATAAGCTTTTTAATTCCCACCAGTTGTTTGTTCTCATATCGATTTTATAATATTGTTGACAATTAGATGAGTGAATACGTTAGTTTCGTAATAGTAATCATCCTTATTAATACCTGTAGTATAGTCAACACCTTGATTTTCTTCCAGAAAGCCGTAAAGCAAGCTTGGCAGGTAGGAAATAATATGTTGTTCTTTTTAAACCCATACTTTTCAATTTTATTTCATAGATCTTTGAACCTCTTCTTTGAAAACATCCTTGCTCCCAATGTCCGCCTTGTGTTTCATTAATTGAAGTGCTAAAGTTCTGTTTTCTTATCAGCCGGAGAACTGACATAGAAATGGCCAAGATAACACGGAACTTTAGTATCAGACTCCCAACTTCACTCACTTTGAATCTGTCTATTGCACCGCTACCATGGCTTCTTTCCTCAATAATGTATAGTTCATACACAATCAGATTTAACAAAAGCTTTCACATTAAATTAAATTATTTCAGATGAAAGCTATGGACGCGAATAGATATGCCACGAAGAAGACAATTGCACAGGGCATGCTAGACATTGCCCTGCTGACCGCCAATGCCTCTCAGCTAAAGTACATCCTCCAAGTGGGGGAGCAGCATCAGTTCTACAAGCTCATGCTTATACTGATCAGCCTATCTATAGTCATGCAGGTGAGCTTATTTTTTATATATTATAATTTATTTAGACGTATGATAATTCCCAGTGTCCTACATAGAGAAAAATGTAATAAAGTTGGTATCATAATAATTAATTTTAGGTAAAATTTGATATATTTAAATTTCATATAGTAAATAGCGAACATTTCAAAGAGTTCTTAATGGAAATGACATTACGAAACTGACATTGTTGTGTTTTTCTCTGTGTAGGTCCTGTCAGGCGTGCTGAGCCTGTCCCTGAGCCTGCTGCGGGACTGCCGGCTGCACCAGCCAGAGTTTCACCAATCGGCAAATATCATAAACCATGTCCGAACGGGCTTCGCCTTTTTCACAACGATGATAAATCTGTTTATCTCAGCATTTGACAGTCGTTTGCCGCCGCCGCAGGGCGAGCTGCTGAACGATGTGAACTAAGGGGCTTAAGTAGTGGCTTACCACCATCTAACTTACATATCCATATATCCCATATTCCGACAGCTCCTAGTGGGCATTCTGTTTGTGGCCATCGGCAGTCTCAACATAAACAGGCAGCAGGATCAGACGGCGGCGATCATACTGAACGATGTTATTTTGGTCGTGGTTTTCATTATATCCGTGGTGAACGTTATCATATCCGGTTTCGGCATAGAGTACTCCTCGCAGCCGCTCAGGCTCCTCGAACAGCATGCAAAGACACCGTAACACCAACGATTTATACCAAAACCATACTGATTTAAAGCTATTTTGTACACTTAAGATGTAAAGGAGAATAAATAAAACTTATTAGAGATCTAAAGACATGGCATTTTTTCTCAGGTGGCTGCTGGAATACTACTGGTCATTCAGTCCCTGATCAGCATGCATAATCCCAAGGACAGAAGATTTGGCTTCACCATCAACCATTTTGTGGACGCCTTTATATTCCTCTCCGTTTTCTGCGACATTATGAAGATGAATTTCGGGCTTGATCCAGCTATTCCTCACAGCACCGATGACGATGTGGAGCTCATAAAGCCCTAGGTCTAAGTTCAGTGATCGGCGTAGCCTCTGATTATTATAGATGTTTTGACTGAACCATTATTCACACCTGTCTATCTTGATATTCAAGTTTTGTTACTGCTCCTAAACTTACCAGATAAAAACCTTTTTCAAAATTTTGCGTATATTCCATAGAACCAGCTGCAATGGCTCGCCGGGATGCTGGCGACAGGTAAGCTTGAACTCCGATTCGAAAAGAGCGCGCCCCCAGCGCCAGTGTGACCGTCTGCGAAAGCTTCAAAACATTAACCGATAGCCGATATCAACACCCAAAGCAGCTCTGCTACCACCGATAGCGATAACGATAGCCATAGTCGATTGTAGCCTTGGTCCGATATCGGTCCAGAGGAAAAAAGTTCATATTCCAAAAATAATACGTATACGCGCGTGAATCATTCGCCACACGTCCCAGCGCAGCGCCCCGATTCGAGTGTACACACCCGTCCGTAGCACACAGTCGCCGTAACTGCCGTGTATTCACCGTACTCCGCGCCAACACAACAAGAGCCGTACACTTCGCACTCAGCACTCCGGCCGCGCGACCCCTCGAAATTCCCCGTATTCCGGTTTGTGCTAATTGTGCTGGTCTTTCGTCATGTTCAGCTTCCTCAAGCGCGAGAAGAACACCCAAGAGGTGGTGGAGAATGTCATTGGCGAGCTGAAGAAGATCTATCGGAGCAAGCTGCTGCCACTGGAGGAGCACTATCAGTTCCATGACTTTCACTCCCCCAAGCTTGAGGATCCCGACTTCGATGCCAAGCCCATGATTTTGTTGGTGGGCCAGTACTCCACCGGAAAGACTACCTTCATCCGATACCTGCTGGAGCGAGATTTCCCGGGCATTCGGATCGGCCCGGAGCCGACAACGGATCGCTTCATAGCCGTGATGTACGATGAGAAGGAGGGCGTGATTCCTGGCAACGCCCTGGTGGTGGACCCCAAGAAGCAGTTCCGGCCGCTGTCCAAGTATGGAAACGCCTTCCTCAATCGCTTCCAGTGCAGCAGCGTGGCCTCGCCAGTACTGAACGCCATCTCAATTGTGGATACGCCTGGTATTCTATCTGGCGAGAAGCAGCGCATTGACAGGGGCTACGACTTCACCGGAGTGCTGGAATGGTTCGCGGAGCGTGTGGATCGGATCATTCTGCTGTTCGACGCCCACAAACTGGACATTTCGGACGAGTTCCGGCGCTCGATCGAGGCGCTCAAGGGCCACGACGACAAGATTCGCATCATTCTGAACAAGGCGGACATGATTGACCACCAGCAGTTGATGCGGGTCTACGGGGCGTTGATGTGGTCGCTGGGCAAGGTGCTGCAGACTCCCGAAGTGGCGCGCGTGTATATCGGCTCGTTCTGGGACCAGCCACTGCGCTTCGATGCCAACCGCCGGCTTTTCGAGGACGAGGAGCAGGATCTGTTCCGTGACCTGCAGTCCCTACCACGCAACGCTGCCCTGCGTAAGCTAAACGATCTGATCAAGAGGGCGCGCCTGGCCAAGGTTCACGCCTTCATCATTGCCGAGCTGCGCAAGGATATGCCCTCGGTGTTTGGCAAGGACAGCAAAAAGAAGGATCTTATTAAGAACCTGGGACAAGTGTACGATCGTATTCAGCGTGAGCACTCCATCTCGCCCGGCGATTTCCCTGATATCAAGAAGATGCAGGAGGTGCTGCAGCACCAGGACTTTACCAAGTTCCACTCCCTCAAGCCCCACCTGCTGGACATTGTTGACAATATGCTGGCCAAGGACATAGCGCGCCTCATGGAGATGATCCCTCAGGAGGAGATGACACTCGTTTCGGAGCCTGTAGTGAAGGGTGAGTAGAGTGCCCTGCCTGCCTCAGCATCACTGATTCGCAATGTGTCACGCCGCACCAGCTAGTTTCCCGCATGATAGAACCGACATCCGCCGACTCATGCCGGGTGGAATCACTGTAAATTCAACCGAGAAATCTTGGTTTTCCGCGAGCGTTTCGTTTTCGCTTTCCCATCGCGCTAAAATATTGCGCATGCGCAGCGCGAAAAATTCCCCAGTTAACCTAGTTTTTTTGCCAAGAAAAACAAGTTTTGCCCGCGGCGAAGAGTCGAGTAAGAGAGCTAGATTCGGTTGGAGAGCTAGGCCACAGCCAAATGTATCTAATGGATACAATTACAGCCACAGTTGCAGCCGCAATGAAAGCCGCTAGGAGCGCGCCCAAATGGACATCTGAAGTGGCTTTCATGGCGGCACCTTTCCCTGGCCACAGCTTCCTGTTTCTGTCCCAGTCGAATTATGCAATCCCGCTAGCAACGACTATATATAACCCTATATATTATATGCGAAGCATATTTGAGCTATATAAACAAAGTGATAAGCGCCAAAAGGCTGATAACGCCTGCAAAAAAAAGTCAGTGTCAGTTCGGTGTTTAGCTAACACAACACACACGCACTTTCTGTGCCAATTTAAACATCGAGGTGGAAGCTAATATCGCACGAAACCACGTATGGTCGTATCATACACAAATGCTTTGTGATAAGCAGCTACTTTGTACTTGAAAGTAGGCGCTGGGCGTGGCCTTTAGGAAATTCTAGTATTTGTATGTCAATTATTATCGAATTGCTTTCGTCATGGCAAGAAGTAAGGTAACTTGACTGTTCTCTCCCCTCGGGGCAGATAAGATTCCTTCGTTCGTTTATTCGTGCCCATGATGTAAGCAATGGAAAATATCGATAGCCGGCGACTTTGCCTTTATGTTGGACTAGCATGAGTCATCAGGAAAAAGCTAAAAGAAAATAAAACTAGGCGTACAGTTGGGCATGATAAATATTTCACACTCGAGCGCCCAGTGGCTGAATCGGATCTGGCTGGCTCTCCGGAGCAGACGCATCCAGGCAACCGTGACGAATGCCACGCACTCGAAGCCGAGCCAAAACGCCCAGCAAAACAATCATCAAGTGTTATGGGCGAGACAGGGGAAGAGCACGGGGTAACCTATATATAGTTAATCAGAGACTAGGCGCCTCCGCCAGACAATCTCATTGTAGTCAATATAAATGTGAACATTGAAACTATAATTGAAAGGCAATTCCAGTTTTCTGCGACCTGTGAACTTTGTGCGTGGCCCCCGAGTTCAAGGCCTAATTACACTTTCCGTGGCGCTTTTCCCGCATGCACCTGTTCGCGTTCCCCCATGAATTGCTTAGTGGTGCCAGTTCCAGTGCCAAGTGTCTTTGTTTGCCCCGACCCTTATCGCGTTGCCAGGCAATGATGTTGCTCACCGTTCAGAGACTGTTAGATAAAAATCAATGTAAGGCCGAGTCAGCATGGTATCATCAAAAGGCGTCTTATCAAATAGCTTCTGAGTCGAAAATTGTCGACAAACGCACTCTGCTTTGTCCCCGTCTGGTCTGCAATGATTAGCAGTGCTCTAATTTAGTTTATCTGCCAAGTAAATAGCATAATTAAATAATAACTATGCCACTGTGGCTAGTAAAAGTTATATACTTGAACTAGGCATCGGTGACATTGGGGTTTTTTGAGATAAAGTTATAAGGTAATAATTTATGTATATAATATAGCTTACCATTAGTTTTATATTCTTCAAATTTAACCCTATTTTTAGTTGCAATTAGTATGAGCTTAGAAAAAAACCCTTAAATATAACAAGATATATGTCATTTAAGATAAAAGCTTTGTGGAAATTTATCATTTTCTGTTCAACATATATCGAAAAATATCCTTTTTTATTTTAAAAATGGATATACTTTTGCATTAAATTTCAATATAGATATTTTCTGCCTTTCCTATACTATTTTTTTTTGTAGAAAAAGCTGCCTAGCTAAACACCCCATTATTCATATATTATTATCAAGTAAATTCTCGTATACACACTATTCTTCATTCCCTATATGGATGGGGGCTCAACAAAAGTAAAGTCGAACGGCGTGTGATAGGATTATTAGTGTACACAAACGGCCAGACAAGGAGAATGAAAATAATTATCTCTTAATAGGCAAAGCAATTTAAAATGGCAAAAGTAAATAATAAAACTTTGAATCCCAATATTTACGGCCTTTAAGAGAGAGAGAAGGAAAGCTCTTCGGTGCACAGAGAAGATCGTTCCGTGCATTTGTCATGAGGCAAAGCTGTTCAAACAATCCCCAGATCCCAGCCAGCCGATCCCACCTCAACCCAGAGCTGAACCGGATGTCGTCAGATACTCTTGATGGCGCTGGCAACCTGAGGCCGCGTATCAATTTGCAGCTCTCCGATGCTGACTTTGGGCGTGTGGCACCACTAAGTGGCTCATCCTCCGCCTAATCCGCGCACGGATTCCCGGAGGGGAATAGGAATTTTAGATGAACTGGCTAGCGCTAAGTGCAGGAAGAAAGCATTTACGATGATATATGTTCGGAATTTATTCCATTTCATTCTGTTTTTTACAATAGCATTGTTGTCGGAGGCCCCGTCGTGGCTGATCTTTTCAGTGGGCCACTTGAGTGGCGTTTTTAATTTAACTATTAGCGCATTTCACATGACCTTGTGTGAAAGAAATCAAACCGCAAAGTATTCGCAAATCTATGCAAAATCCAATGGATGATGTCGAAAGTGATCGACACTGATGTCATACGATCATTATTTCACAGAGTGTGTCATCCGCCACATTCAAGTGTCGAATGTGTGTTCATTATGCTGTAGTGTGGAAAATTCGATAGCCTCTATAAAAAAAAACCCTGTTGCTCGCATTCGCTGCAAGTGAATGAACTTTTCGTTTATTATTACACCAGAGGCGAAGACATACCCCCGAAATGGAGGAGAAGGAATGCCTTGATAAAGCGAATCGCGATCAAACTGCTCGAAATCAAAGTCAAGAACTCTCGGTCCCCTAAATTAGTCGCTCTGTCTCTATGTGTTTCTGTCACTCTGTGTGTATCTGTATCTCTGCTTTCATTTATGTAGCGATAGCTGCACAGTTTCGACTTTATTTCAGTGCATTTCCGTTGTTTTGTCTTGGGTAATTGACTTGGTTAAACGCGAGAGATAAGTTTAGTAGATGCCCTATACAGATTTGAAGTAGAAATGTGTATAGAGAGAAAAATATCAAAAAATCCTCCCTAAATATCGAATTTATTGCAAGGTTTTCCATAGCCTTAAAATATTAAACAGAATCTAGATATCTATTTAATATGAATATATCTTTATATTCTGCAATCCTTGTCAACAGTATCCTCCCCTTAAGGCTGGGAAATGCATTCCTAAACGAAATTATTTTCATGTTCCACCCAATTTATTAATGAATTATAATTTTCCTATTACTATTTTACTTTTATACAAAATATAAATTTACTTTGAGGTCATACTTGTGGTAATGCTAATGAACTCGTCACTTCGTAGTTTGCTACAATTTATCAGCCTGATCTGGACCGTGCCCTCGATCGCACTTGGTCAGGTTTTGTGCTTCCATATTTTGAGTCACTTCCTTCACCAATCACACCGACACCGACACCGACAACATCACATGTTTAGCAATCTGTCGCTAAATAGTTTATACACACAGCTAACACGATCTTGCAGAAATAAGTTGTTCTGTTCGCCGCTCTTTCTGTTTGGTACTTGGTTCTTATCGTTTTTCGCCATTGGCACACTAATTTGCTTTTGAATCTGAATTTGAGTTGGTTTTCTACGTCCGATTGGCACTCCCGCACTGTCCAGATGCTCCACTGTAACAGTGCTCCTTCTCTGTCAAAACCTTCTTTCTCTCTCTCTCTCTTCTCTTCTTGCATACCCGAAGAGGATTCAGACGATGACTTCGATGTGGCCGCGGAGCCCGATCCACTGACCCCCAGCTCTCAGCGGGAGCAGTTTGCCGAGCGCTTCGATCGCTGGCTGCAGAACCTGCGCCAGCAGCAACTCCGATTGTTCAGCAGTTGTACTAGTCGGGTGGGCAATGTCGAGAATGACACGGAACCCGATCCTGGTCCAGAAACAGTAGCTGAGACAGAAACTGAGCCAGAGTTGGCTACAGAGCAGGAGGTTGACACTGAGCCAGAGGTAGAAACTAGGCCAGCAACTGACCCTGAGCCGGATTCGGGAACAGGGACGGACTTGGACGTAAGCACCACTGAACTATATCCTTTATATCAGTGGCACATTAATAGTTTTAAAAACTACAAGTGCAAAATATTCCAATCCAAAAACTTCTTAATTTTTGTAAAGTACATTTCGATTTTTTGTATAATTTATTGTCTCCAAGTCTTGCCACCCCACCAGCAACAGCCTTTTCAATTGCCCGTTGCGACAGCAAGAGGCCGCAAACAAATTGAGCAACAAACAGTTGAGAGTGGCAACTTCAACAAAAAATAAAGAGTGAATTTAAAACGCACTTGGCAACCTGCACCGCCCGGTCAGCCGCCCATCTCAATTGCTCCCAGAATGCACCACAATTGCCTGTTAAAGTAGGTAGACGTAGTCGTAGCCGGCAAAGTACGTGCTTAAGTCGGTCAGCAGGCCTAGTCACGATACGGCGGCAACGTCAATTGCGGAGCCTAAACGATCTGAAGGTTTTAATTGCCTCAAATTGAATGTTTGTGCACGGCGACGCACCGATCGACTTAGATTACATGCTTAATTAATGCAAATAAGGGATGGGTGTACATATATGGAGGGGAAAATTCCAATAGCATATTGAAAATATCGTAATCTTTGATACATACAATCATTAAATATCTCATTCATATTTAAGTATCAATATTATTTATCCAAACTCATCCTTTTTCCTTCGTTTCTTCTGCATTAGGTGGTGCCTTCGAGGGAGTCATCGACGACCACGTCTCGCCCTTCGGCTACATGAAGGGTGAGGGTATCGATGCCGGCTGTGGAGAGCACGACTGGATCTGCAACAAGGACAAACCACGCACAGACGGCATATTCAATGGGCTGGGACCCGTTGATGGCAAGATATCCGGTGCAAGTAAGTGTCTTCTTGAATAATATCTGCGAGAGTTGGAAAGCTAATCAATAAATCCACTTACAGCTGCCAAGCAGGAGCTCATCAAATCGAAACTGCCCAACTCGGTGCTCAGCAAGATCTGGAAACTGTCCGATGTCGACGGCGATGGCTTCCTGGACTCTGATGAGTTCGCGCTGGCCTTGCACTTAATCAACGTCAAGCTGGAAGGCTGCGAGCTGCCCACCGTGCTGCCGGAGCACTTGGTGCCACCGTCTAAGCGCTACGATTAGTGCCCTGTAACATATATGCACCCGATCCACAGCCACACGTACACAAAAGATCACATAGAGACCAAGGATGCACTTTGTTTCGATTTGTTTTATATATTCAATCACTGTGCAGGCGACTGCCATTTTTATGTAATATACTCGTTATGAACGCGCTAAACTGGGTATTAAAAAACACGCATTGAAACGCATGAGATATCAATCATAAATTCTTAGAATTTACAAAAAAAAAAAAATAGTATATTTTTGGATAATCGATTGTGAAGCGAGTAAAGCGGAGGGAGAAGTGTAAAGTGGAACCAGACTAAGCCAAGAGTAGTGTCTGTGTGTCGTTGTTGACTTAAGGAATGTGTAATGAAATAATTGTTCAATGCCAATGAAAAAGCATGAAGTTAAACTGTATACAATATCTAGGTTAAATGTCGATGCTGCACATCGAGAAGGGTCACTAATTTGCAAAAAGAACCACTTTTGATACGCAGTAGTATATAAGGAATACTGAAGTTTACAAACTGTAGAGCGTGGGCATGCGAAAGCATGTGTTTCCTGTATTTATTTTGCAATCCTATTTAATTGTTCGAAAGATGCCCACACACCACCAAGACCCTAAGGAGAAACTGATGAAAACTTTGTGCAATTTACATTTTCTTAGTGCAAATTATGGCCTGTGCTTCGACTATTTTGTAATTATTTAGTGAATTTTGAATATTATTAATTGTGAAATTGAAACTGATTTATAAATTGTATAAACAATAAAATGAACAATTTTGAATGTGCTTGTTGTTGGGTTTTTAAAAGTTGTAATCATGGAACAGATTTCTCTGTAGATATTTTCATTTTGAAAATATTTTTCTGAAAAGTGGTAGTCTTATCGCTCTAATATTTGTATGTATTTTACATTTTCTTTAACTTAAATATATTTTTGAAAATTTGTTATAAAAACGTTTAGCATTGAGCCAAGACTGTTTTTTAAAACACGCATAGATCGTTCTTTGTAAGAACACAAGTGCAGCATTTTATATTTTCAATTTCAAGAACACCTTGCCGACACTTAAACCTTTTATTATTTCAATACCTTTTTTAGAATTACTAAGATTCTGTTGCAGATTTATTAGTCTGATAAAATCAAGCGCAGAAAAGATTTCCCTATTTAAATCAGTGCTGATTTTGGCTTTTAGATAGTTTTATACACTTGCAGGGTATTATAATTTTACTTAAAGCATAAAACGCAGTGAAGGAGTCATTTCCGACCCCATAAATCACATTTATTCTTGGTCAGCATCGAAAGCCGAGTCGATCTAGCTATGTTCGACCAAAATTAATTTTTTTTCCAAAATTTGAATATTTTAAAATTGTCAAAAATTGATAAAACTCCTAATTTTTTTAAACTTAAAATTGAGTATACCGATTTATTAAACTACTAAAGAGTAACACAAGTGTGGTTTCGGAATTAAAATTAATACTGTTTTGGCTTAGTTATGAGATTTTTAACTTTGATTTGTAGAACATATTTTCATTTCAAAATATTGATAAATATTGGGTCAAAGAATGGTATTATAAATACAGGCCGAAACCTAGAACCTAGAAATCATATATATTCCTGATCAGCATCAACAGCCGAGTTGAACTAGCTATGTCCGACAAAAATTTAATTTTTTCAAAAACTTTGAAAATTTTATAAGGGTTACATCGTTAAAATTGTCAAAAATTTATAAAAATCTTAATTTCATTAAATTAAAAATTGAGTATGCAGATTTATTAAACTACTAAAAACTAACACAGTAGTGGTTTCCGAATTTAAAATGTATGCTCCTTTGGCTTAGCTAAGAGATTTTTAAATCTGAATTGTAGAACATATTTTTATTTAAAAATATAGATACATTTTGGGTCAAAGAATGGTATTATAATTATAGTGAGAAGCCTATAACAATGTGAAGGGTTTTATAAAGCATATATATGATCAGCATCAAAAGCTGATTTAATCTGACTTGGTAGTTAGGATACAAAATTTCGGGAAGTTAAATTCCTTAAAAATAAATGTTGTATTTTTCAAATAGGTAATAACCACCAACTGTTAAATAAAAATCGTTATTACCTGAACAATCTGGCAGCACTATAAGACCCTTCCACTTGGTATATTGGAGGAGCGACGTCGCAGTCACACTAGAGATACGGAAGCTTACCGGGTTAATTTCGCATTGATTAAAGTATATTCTATAAAAACCTAAAATGGCCACCTACGAAGAAGTCAAGGATGTGCCAAACCATCCGGAGACCTACCTATTTGATGTGCGCAATGAAATAGAGCTGAAGGAAACCGGTGTCCTGCCTGCCAGCATAAACATACCATGTGAGTGGAGCTCCAAAGTCCAGGGATTTGCCGGCTTAATGGGAGACACACCCTTCTCTTGTTTCCAGTGCCCGACTTGGAGAAGGCCCTGAACTTGCCAAATGAGGAATTCGAACAGGCCTATGGACGTGCAAAGCCTCCAACTGATGCGGTTCTGATCTTCTCCTGCAAAGCAGGAGGACGTGCAGCCAGAGCTGCAAATTTGGCTAGCACCTTGGGATTCACAAAGTATGGTTTGTTTTTATTGTTTTATTTTTGTAAATTTATTTTTATGAAAATAATTCTTGCAGTGCGAAGGCCTATGCCGGTTCCTGGACGGAGTGGCAGGCGAAGGAAGCTGGGAATTAATTATTATTCCTTTCAAGATCCTATACAATTGATTACCCTAAATATAAAATATATATTTTATAACTACACCCTAATTTCCTGTATTTCCCCCAACTACGTCCCATCTTGAGCTTTACCTTGAGAGGTACACTGAGCTTCACGCAGTTCTCCATGGTTAGGCTGAGCACCTTGGCTATCTTTTTCGCCTTGTCGGCGGGCACCTCGAAGATCAGTTCGTCGTGCTGATGGAGCACGAGGTTGACTGAGTTTTCTGCTACGCCCAGCTTCTCCCGATAGCGAGAAATATTCTTCTCCATTTTAATGATTGCGCTTTTGGCAATATCCGCTGCCGATCCCTGAATAGTGGAGTTGATGGCTTGACGCTCGGCCTGATCTGAAGAAAAAGGAAATGATTGTTAAATGATCAGAAAAAAAATATTCCCGTAGCCCTATTTACTCTTCAATTGCGCCTCGCCACTGTTGATGTGATCCAAGTAGCGTCGACGTCCCGTAATGGTCTCCACGTAGCCATTGTTGCGGGCAAACTTTACCACCTTCTGGGTGTAGGTTCGGATGCCTGGATAGGCCTGGTGGAATTGCTCCGACACCATCTGGGCCTCCTGTTCCGTGCACTTCAGCGATTCTGCCAAGCTGCGCATGCCCATGCCGTAGACTATGCCATAGCAGATCTGCTTGGTGCCGTTGCGCATGTGCTCCGACACCTCAGACTCCTCTATGCGATTCCAGCGAGCCGCAATAGCTGTGAACAAGTCCTGCGGTGAGTTCATCACCTCCACTAGAGCCTTGTCCTGTGACAAGTGAGCCAGAATGCGCATCTCCAGCTGACAGAAGTCCGCTGAGAGCAGGCACAGCTTTTCATCCGAAGGAGCGAAGGCTGAACGGCAAGATATGTTTATCCCGTCCGATCCCAGCTTTATCACAAAGTCCTTGGCAACATTCTGCAGATTTGGCTCCGTCATGGAGATCCGACCCGTCGCTGTATATGTAATGCTCTGACCATGGATACGATTAGACTCACAACACTTCAGCAGTGGCTGCATACTCTTTGCCAGAAGCGTGCTCAGCTTCCGGTGGGCCAGGATTAGCATTGAAACGGGTGAGTCTATCTTCTCTAGCACCTGCCGGGAGGTACTCACACGTCCCGACGGTTTGCGGTGGAGTCCCAGTACCTTGGCTACGGCCTGCGTAGAGCCAAGGTTAAACCGTGACCCATGCTGCTCGTAGATCTTACCCTCCAGCTTCTTCATCACGGCCACCATATGTTGGAAGAGACGCTGCAGTCGTTGCTCCTTGGCAGGAAAGCCCACCACCTCCATGTGGCAGAGGGACATCTGAATGGGCATTTCTATGTCTAAAAATACATATATATTTCTCTGAAAACATAATGTTTATAAACTTAAACTCACCGCGGAAAAACTTAAGCAGCTGACCATCGCCGATTCTCTCCAGATTCTCCAACTGTCCCTTGAGTATGTGCACTGTAACACAGGCCTCGATGGAGGCCCTAATCTTGGGTAATATGGCACTGGAGCTATCGAGACCATAGCTGGTATAACCGCGACCGCTGCCACAAAGATCGGCGAGAGCTGTGCACTCTGGAGCGAAATGCTGGCACTGTGAATTGATAAATTATTTATAATAATAAAATCGTAAAAATTAAATCCCTATAAGTTACCATATTCTGAAAGCTAAGCGTCTTGTCCGGCTGCAACAACCAGTTGCCCACTTTGGGATCTTCCAGCTTGACAGCAATCTTGCCAAGCTTTGGCATGGCCTTCAAGAGCTTCTTCAGCTGCTCCTTGCCGTCGTGCATGATGAGCGTTAGTTCCGGACGTGCCAACAGCTTGCACAGCTCCTGCTCCTTCAGACTTGTGGGAACCACTCCCTGCCCCTGCTTCTGCTCCTCATCCTGCATATTCAAATAGTAAACCACATTGTCCCTTAGACAGAAGGATAATCCGGCTATGAAGCAGGTGTCGTCCACCTGGAACAGTACTTGCTGTCCGGCAGCAGCCTCTCGCTGCTCCGCCGCCGCTACCTGGTTAATCAATAGGTTGGCTCCAATCAGCGGCTTTTGCCTGCCTGCCTGAGCCTGCAGGGCTACGCTGAAGCCGCAACGTGTAGCCTCTAGGAGCTCCATTAGGGCCATTTGGAACAATTGTCGGTTGCCACAGATGTCAATGATGTCGATGCTGCTGAAACTCGAGGCATTGTCGTCCGCCTTGGAGCAGCTGAGAATGTGCGAGGCATTCAGGTGCAGCGGATTCTTGATCAGTGAGTTCTCCAGCGACATGTCTGAGAGCTCCATGGATGAGGCTGCGGTGGAGGAGTTAGTCGTTTCTGTGGGTACAGTCGCCGGTTCCTTAGACTGCGCTTTGGGACTTTGCATCCGCTGCGAACGTAGCTGAAATGAGCGCATCATTCTGGAAGCATGTGGCGTCAAGGCAGTGGCCACCACCTCCGGTTCTTTGGGCTGAGAGCTGGGAATTTCATCCGCTTCCGAGGATGCTGGCATCTTGCTATCGGCGGCCGTGAGGGCAGCCGTCACTCCCGAGCTGAGCATAAAGGAATCGTCTGCCATAAACAGATCCTCCTCCGCCGTGGAAGGCTTCCTTGAGGCAGTGCGACTCTGGGTAGTGGTCAGAGTCTGGGTGGGCGTATGATTGCGGGGACTCCTGCGGGGCAGGGTAGTAGCTGTACTCCCACTCTGCCTGCGTGTAGGGGTCACTGAGGACTCTTTGCTGAAGGGCTCCTTGAAAGGCTTGGGACCCAAGCTCCCCTTGACTGTCAAGTTCTCATTAACTGCCAAGTTCTCCTTGTCGTTACTACGAAGTTCCCTTTCCGTCTGAACTTGGCTTGGTTTTGGAGTAGTAGTTGCTTCCTTAACTATGCCTGGAGACCGCTCGATAGGGGGCGTGGCGGCTCGCTCGGTGCGTTTTTGGTTGATTTTCATCAGGGCAATCCGCCGGCGTTCGGCTATCTCCTTTCTTAGCAGCTCCTTTCGGGCCTGGGCACTGGTGCTGGGCTCTTGCTCTCGAGCTACAGGTGAATTAGAGATATTGTCCACGGGATTGGTTTCTCTATTAGTCTCTGATCTTTGTTTTTGAACTGGGATTAAAAGGTTTTCATTGGGGAATTCTGATGATTGGATTTTTGTTGATGTCTCCTTATGGGAGGAAACTGCAGGAATTGGCGCAATATCTTTTGTTTCAACAATTAAAGTTCGTGGTGTTGACTTTTCTGAGTGGGAATCCTTCTTCGACAATCTCTGATTATTTATAAAGGGCTTCTTCGGAGGTATTTCAGATTTCTGAGTATTCCCAGTAGAGGCCAATGATTTCAGAGGTTCCTCGGCTGGTTTTTTATTGGAATCTTTGTGGAGAATTTGGTTTAAACCTTGAGAACGGCGCTGTATTCTTTCACTGCTCCTCTTCTTCCCTTCCACTCGTGAATCCATCTTGGGCACTTTGGGTTTCGAAGTGTCTTCAGGATTATTATTTCTTTCCGGGCTTGCCAGCCTGCGCTTTGACGAGGGAACCTGACCCTGAGCATGCTGCTCCTCTAAAGACATGTGCAGTTCCACTTCCATCCCGCTCTCCAGGGACTTTGGAGCCTCCGATGCCTTTGGATGTTCCTGCGTCCACTTGATGCTTCCCACCCCAATCTCGTACTGAACAAACTGGCGAGCTTCGTTAATCAGCAGTTTGGCAGCTTCCGCCACCGTCATGCCCGCCTTGCCCGTGATGAAAAAGTTACGTACCTTGTTCCGAAGGGCCGCTTCTTCGGCGTTCTCGTGGTCGTGCTGCTTCGTGGAGTCAAAGCTGAGCGAGTTGAAGAGCACTTTCTCGAGCTCCAGAGCATCCGCACCCGCCACCTCCACCAAACTGGTGAAGCCAGCATCGAAAAGAGCACGCGCTCGCTTCTGTGACAAATCGGGCAGCCGCATAAGATCGATTAGGTCCCGGTGAATGCCGAAGAACAGGCGGTCCTTAAACTGGGACACTATCAGGGCAAGGGTAGACCACTGCAGGGAGTGGCAGAAGGCGGTCACAATGCCCGCAAATGTGGAGGACATCTGCTGGAGACTCTGTAGCATACCGCGATGACACTTGAACTTGTGCACCACCACATTGATGGGTGTCTCGTTGACCAGCTCCTGCAGTGCCAGAGCTGTGTAAAAGCTGGAGCCAAGAAGAAACGTACTTTATATTATAATCCAAATGGAATGTATCCAAACAACTTACCGCTTGTGCACCTGCATCTGTTTGTAGTCCAGCTTCGTCTGACCACGCATAGCCTTAATGAGAAAGGCTTCCTTGACCCCGACGAGTTCTCCCACCTTTTTCATGGCCGGGTTCAGTTTTTCCCACATGTCCAGATACAGCAGCCAGTCGAGATCCTGCAGCTGATAACACACGGAATAGGGCGTCACCAGGTAGACAGCATGCAGTTCGGACTCTAAGACGAAGCAGCGACGGGATTTCTGCAACTCGGCGAAGAGAATAAGGCCGTCGGTGGGTGGCATTGAGGAGGCCAGGCAGGCAGCTCCCAGACGAGTGGCCACATAGGTGGAGGACTCCGTCTCCTCATCCGTTTGAAGTCGGATGAATTCATACTCCACTAGGAAATCCAGGGCATCACTGATGTAGTTCCCATCAGAATCGTCTTCCGGCGGTGGCTCTACATCGGCGGAGGATGCTTCCAAGGCCTTTTGGGCACTCAGTAAAGTGCAATTGACAAACGAATCTATGTCCTGCCTGGTGCTGGCCACACCAGAGGATATGACCTCCAGGAGAGCGCGTTTCAAGTGAGTCTGGAAAGGGAGTTTTTTTTTTTTGAGATTTCCAGAATTAAATATAGATAACCTACACTCCCGTCCATCTCCAGGCAGGACGTTATGGGCTGCAGCTGCGCCGTCACCAGCTCCCGCCCTATGCGTGCATTGCTCTCCGTGCAGATCAGGATGGATTCCCCCAGCGTATCCTTGCCGGTTCGACCCGCTCGTCCGATCATTTGGCGGTAGGTAAGGGAGCTCATCTGCTTGCCTCCGAACAAGGGAGAGCGGATGAGCACCCGTCGAGCGGGCAGGTTAACACCCGAGCTTAGGGTACTGGTGGCTACCAGAACTTTCAGTGATCCCGCCTTAAAGGAGGCCTCCACAATGTCTCGCTCTTCGGTGGTCAAACCGGCATGGTGAAAGGCACAGGCATAGGTCACAGATTTGGACATGACTGCATCAATACCTGGAAAGAAATAAAGATATTGATTTATTTTTGCCTTATTTGTTTCCTTATCTTACCCACCTGTTGGAATATCTCTTAGCTGCTTTTTCACCTCCTCGATGGCCTCTGGATTGAGATTAGCCCGCAGACGCTGACCTAAATCCGTGCCAGACTTGATAAGCCCGTGCATGGCAGTGGCCAGTTGGACGGCCAGGTTCTCGCACCAATCCTTCGAGGGGCAGAAGACGATGACGGAGCAGCCCTCCAGCAGAGTCTCGATGCACAGCTGGGCAACATGGTCAGAATCATTGCCCAGGGCCTGGCGCAGCTCCGCCTGCTGGGATACGTCGCGCAGGAACTTCAGCTGCTGGTCAAAAATCTTGGTGCCCACTTTTATCATCTCTTGCAGGGCCACTGGGCGATAGTCTGTAATGTACAATTCGGCGTCCAGCCAGCGCTGGAGCAGCTCCACATTGGCCAAAGTGGCCGACATGGTGATCACTTGAATCTGCAGGGCGTTGCGGCGCGACATGTACAGAATCTTGGCCAGTAGTAGCTCCAGAATGTAGCCTCGTCCCTTATCCGATATGAGATGCACTTCATCCACCACTACCATGCCAATGGTGTCCAATTTGCCTTGTTCCAGGAGCTTATTAATGATCGAATTGGCCTTCTCGATGGTGCAAATAGCCACGTTGATGCTCTCGAAGCCACCGGGTGGCGTGTAGCCTCCGAAGAATCCCTCCACTCGATAGCCAGCCGTGGTGAGCAGGTCCTGCAGGTAGAACATCTTCTCGCGTACTACCGATATGAAGGGCAGGATGAGCAGCACCTTCTTGCCGCGCTCTACTACAGTCTTCAGGAGGAGAATCTCGCTGACGAGCGTCTTCCCTGCCGAAGTGGGTGCCGAGTAGACCAGGTTGCAGTGCTCGAAAAGCACGCGTGGCTTGCTGAGGCATTCCACTTGCCAGTCGAACATCCGCAGGACGCCCTTCTTTTTGTATTCGTTCTGTATGCTGTGCGGCAAGTTCCAGGCCGCAATGGATTTAAGGGACTCCAAATCTGCGGGTGGGTTTCTTCTTTCGGGCGGAGCTTCGCGAATGCTAGAGGAATTGGGCGAAACTCGCAGCTGGTTAGGCGACATGCTGCTCAAATTCTGGGTGATGCGCGATATCTCGTGGTGGTCGCTCTGCTTGGCCAGAATGCAACGACTGCGCAACAGGTCCTCCTTCAGCTGTTGGGATGCCCGCTCATCCCGTGCTGGACACAGGAAGCTGCTCTCATCCAGATTGGCCACATCCCGGTCATCTTCCTTGGCCTTGTCGTCCGCCTCAAACACATCCTCAGAGCAGACTTGCTTGTTCGAGTCGCCAGAGTTGCGATGGGGAACTCCTTCTAGAAGTGCCGCCTCGACCTGCGACACATTGACCACTGAATGCTCCGACGCCTTTTTGGCTTGTTCCACCTCGTAGGAGAACTCGTCTCGAAAAAAGTCCGAGTAGTTTTCACTCTCCTGAATGGAGGAAACCTTGGATTTCTTGGCTGCGCTCAACCTAGCCTTGGAATTTTGTGGGCGAAAATTTTCCTTTCCGGCTGCCGTTTGCAGGCCCTTCTCCAGCTCCATGAACGTGCTGTCGCCAAAATCGAACGACTGCGAAAACGCCATGGTACCGGAGTTTTTAAATATTATTTAAAACATAAACTTAAAAAAATAATATTATAAACAAAACATTTCAGTACGAAAAAATAAATAAAAACAAAAACTGGCGGGGTCTTCAAGACGGCCCTGCCAACTTAATCTTGCAATAGTTCTGTCCACTTTTGGGACAAACTAGAATCAGTTCACAGATTCAAAATAAACTAAAATCTAATTTCTATAATAAGTTAATATCCTAAGTTGAATAAAAAAAAATTTTAAAAAATAATTTCACTCTTTCAAAACATGTTCACAATTTCTTGGGACAACTGTTGGTATGTTTGGTATTCTTTTGCCGCTCAGCACTTGGTCACACTACGTCCCAGGTCAGCTGCGGAATTTGCAATTTTTTGTTTACTCCGTGGAAATTAAACATATATCGCGTCAGTGGCAGCATGAACGAGTTTAAGGTACCCGCTCCGCTGCCCAAGCCCAAAGTGATCGTCACAGAGAAGCCGCGGCCCGAGGCGCCCGCTGAACCGCCACCTCCGCCACCCAAAGTTCTGAAATCCTCGCCAGCGGCCGCCTGTCCGTACAAGATTCCACGCTGGTCTGCTCCACCAGCCGCTGACCAGATCTACAGCTTTGAGGTGCTTAAGTCGGGCCAAATCATCGATCAGGTTCGACAGCTGCAGCAACAGGCGGTCTGGACCTTTGGCCGCCTGCCCGAAAACGATGTGGCTGCCGCCCATCCCACGATCTCGCGCTTCCACGCCGTGCTGCAGTATAAACCCAAGGAACCGCCCAAGCTGGAGCAAGAGGCGAATGAGGAGGACGGAGACCAGGAGGAGACTTCTAAGAACGAACAGCCGGAGGGCTGGTACGTATACGATCTGGGCAGTACCCACGGTACCTTCTTGAACAAGCAGCGCCTGCCCCGAAGGTCTTCATCCGCATGCGGGTGGGTCACATGCTGAAGCTTGGAGGCAGCACTCGCGTCTATATTCTGCAGGGTCCCTGTGAGGACGAGGAGGCAGAGTCGGAGCTCTCGGTGACGGAGCTGCGCCAAAAACGGGACAAAGAGCTCGCTGATGCCGCCCTAGAGCGGGAGCTGCAAATTCTGGCAGCCGAGGAGCGCGAACGCAACGAGGGCGTCAGCTGGGGTATGGGTGATGATGCTGACGAGGAGACGGATCTCACACATAATCCCTACGCCAGCACCAACAACGAGGATACCTTTTTCGACGACCCAAAGAAAACGCTCCGTGGCTTCTTTGAGCGCGAAGGTCTCAGTTTGGAATACAAGTGCGATGAGCTGTCCTCTGGCACCTTTGTCTGCCGCGTAGAGCTGCCACTAGATGACTCGAATGGAAGGCCAATTGTCGTCGAGGTGAATCACAAGGGTCGCAAAAGGACTGCGTGGTTCAGTGCGCCCTGGAGGCTTGCCGCACCCTGGACAGGCACGGTGTGCTGCGTCAGGCCAACCAGGAGGCGCAGAAAAGAAAGATTGTAAAGGCAGGCGACTCGGACGACGAGGATGACTTCTGGGATCGCACTGGAGACGTGGAACGCAAGAAGCAGCGTCTTGCGAGTACCGGTGCCAGTGTCACCTTGACCTATGAGGATTTGGTAGGTCGCGCTCAAATACTTTCCTGACATATTGTATAACTTTAGCCTTCAATAGCTTAAACAAGAGTGCGAACTCAATGCCCTCATGGACAAGGTGGAGCTCGAAATAGGTTCCTATCAACAAAAGGAAAGAAAACTGAAAGAAATTGCCGAAAAGCAGGAGACCGTTGGCGATGATCTGGACAACTTTATGGACATGCTCAACGAGGACGTCGAGCAACTAGACAAGACCGAGATCAAGAAACTAAGGGTTAGTAGCTGTCATTAAATAATCATTTAAAACCAGTCCTAATATTCATTATTCTAGTTAGAACAGCAGCGCCTTAGGGGCGAGCAGCAGAAGGTGCAGCGCTTGTTGAAGATAGCCAAGCCCACAGCCTTACCTTTTGCCACGGGCAAGGCAACAGCCAAGGATGAATCCCAGGCCAGGAAGGCAGTGCAGTTGTCAAGCGGCAGCTGCCCATGATTGGCAAGCGGAATCAATTTAGCAAATTTAAGGTGGTCAAGGCGCCGAGCAGCACTCAGACCAAAACCCAATCCAAAGCATTTGCCTCGGACGAAGAGGAAGACGAAGAGGAGGAGGCCAAGGCAACAGAAAAGGACCAAGTTGGAGTAACTAAAGAAAATGAGAAAGCGACGGCAACGGAAGCTGTGGACAATTCATGTACTTTGGAGAACAAGAACTTGCTGGAAAGCGAACCCCCTGCCGAAGCGGAAGCGAGCAAACCAGCAAACGCTGAACCGGAAGTCCTAAAACCAGTCGACGTGATGTCACCAACAAAAGTTTCAGCGGAAACTTCAACAGCTCGCACCGACAGCGACGGCGACACTGTTGCTTTAGCAGTTGAGCCGGTGGAAAAGGCAAGCCACCTCGCAGACGCCACTCCGGAACCGGAAGCCGAGGATCTCTTGCAAAAGAAGCGACGTCAACGCCAACGACAGCGCAACAAACAGCGCCAGGATGTGGACATGGACCTGGACGAGCTGGCCGAGCACGAGGACAGCGAAAACTACGCCAAGTGGGTGCCTCCCACCAACCAAAGTGGCGATGGCATAACCCACTTGAACGAGAAGTTTGGATACTAGCTGAGAAACCCAATTTTAAGATTTCCTTTAAACTAGTCTAGACCCATAATTGATGTACTCTCTAAGACCCTCTCAATGTGACTTTGTAAATGTTTAACCACGGTGTTTTCATCCACCCGGGGGGCACTCAACTTCTTCCAACTGGATGAGCTTTTCACCACCACTGCTGGCAACTTCCCCTGCGCTGACAACCACCCCTAAGTTGAGTTGAGTGGCGGCGTCGCTTCCAGGCAACAATTCATCCGCTGACTCGGCCAAAATTCCTGCGCACATACACAAAATGAACGCCCACTCGGCTCCAAGCGAGACCCGATGAAGACAACGGCATCGGTTTGCCGATGGGACTCCAGTACTTGAACTTCCAATTCAGTTATAATTTTGTCGCTCTAACCGCCAGCACGGTCCGACGGCTGACGTGCTTTAGTTAACCATTAGCCCCTAGCCCAAGACTGCCTCTATTTGTTTATTGAAACCGAATGGCGGCTTAAGTTTAATCGCAAAAATTAATTACCAACTAAATCGATACGCGTGGCGCACCGTCAATAAAACGAGGGAATCGAGTCCAACCTGACAGTGTGTCTAAATTAGGATTATTTATATAAGTCGACCAAGTTCTGTGGTGTGTCTTGGAGCCAGGTGGCACTGGTTTAATGCGTGCCTCTCACGTTCTCCCAACAGCCGGGGCACATGTGCGGGTTACACTTTAGGACGCGTAACAGTCCGTCTCAGAAGACGTCCCTCCGCTGGGGCGACTGCTGCCTGGCCTAAACTAGTGTATATAGTGTTCCTCCTGGACCAGGATCTCCAAGATCCCGCAGCTATAGCCACTACTTCATCCGTTCGACCACGAAATGTTGCATAAGCCGAGGCGCATTTGATTGGCGCGCTTCTTTGATTGCCGTCGCAACGCGTCCGCTTGAACTTGGCGCACTTTGTTCCCAAGAGCCGAGGTGAGTCTCTTTCCGTTCGATTGCCCGCAAATGCGCTGGGACATGCGCAGTATCCACATGGGGATTACAATAGCCCCAGCTCCGCTGCGCTCTGTGCTTTGCTCAATTTTTTGTGAATGAAGGAAACCCACCTGGCCGATGGCGTGGAAGGTGCCAGGTGTTGGGGATTTGTTTGTCGTGACAATGACGTACTACTTTGGGGGGAGTCCATGTCTGAATTGTTTATGTATTTTACATAAGCTCCCAATCCAGGGTTTTGTGCTCAGAACTCCGTTCTAGTTGTTATATAAGCAAATATAGTGCGTGCTGCAGGAATCATAAACTAATTTTCAGGCTCAAGAACAGACTGTAGTTTTGCTAAATATGGGCAAAGGAGACTGATTTAAAAAGGATTAATGGGGTATAATACACTTATTTTATAGACTTATTTAACCAGATATTTTAAACCTATGTCTACTATTTTCAATCGATTATTATTTAGATTTATGACCTTATCTTTTTTTAACTTGTAAATATTCTGTTAAGTGGGACTTTTAATAGGTCATTATTTGAACTACATATATCTATAAAAACACCGCTGTTAAGGACATGGTAGTTGCAACTGCCACTTAATTGCGCGCCATTAGCAAGGACGCATTTACGCGGTGGGCAAAGAGTGCTGAGACGCAATGGGCACCCACTCCTATTATATCCTTGGTGGCAAAGGTCAGGCGCACCGATGGCCAGGGCCAGTGCATTGGCTTAATATTTAATGCTGCGTGCTGGGGCCAGTTAATTGAAAAATGAGAGCTTGCAACAATTATGCTCAAGGTTGTAACTCCATCCCTAACAACCCCACCACTCACCACCCTCCTCTCTGCCATTCCATTACAGCTAAAGGTCAAACCCGTTTCCAAAGAGTATTAATTTACACAAGCCAAGCGCGTGTGGAGAGCCGAGGTTACTGAAAGTATATCCTATAGCCAAGGACTTCCGTGAATCGCAGCCATGATCAATATCGCCGGCGTGGTGAGCATCGTGCTCTTCTATCTGCTCATCCTGGTGGTGGGCATCTGGGCTGGTCGCAAAAAGCAGTCCGGCAATGACTCAGAGGAGGAGGTGATGCTGGCCGGCCGCTCCATAGGTCTCTTCGTGGGCATCTTTACCATGACAGCTACCTGGGTGGGTGGCGGATACATCAACGGCACGGCGGAGGCCATTTACACATCGGGCCTAGTGTGGTGTCAGGCTCCCTTCGGTTATGCCCTGAGTTTGGTGTTTGGTAAGTGGATTTACAGATACATATTATTATAACTTCTTATACATTTCCTCCCCTCAGGTGGCATCTTCTTTGCCAATCCCATGCGCAAGCAGGGCTACATCACCATGCTGGATCCGCTCCAGGATTCGTTTGGTGAGCGTATGGGTGGGCTACTGTTCCTGCCTGCACTCTGTGGAGAGGTATTCTGGGCTGCCGGCATCCTGGCCGCTCTGGGAGCCACCTTATCCGTGATCATCGACATGGACCACCGAACTTCTGTTATTCTCTCCTCGTGCATTGCCATCTTCTACACACTCTTCGGCGGACTGTACTCTGTGGCGTATACGGACGTGATTCAGCTTTTCTGCATCTTCATTGGCCTATGGATGTGCATCCCCTTTGCCTGGAGCAACGAGCACGTCGGCAGTTTGAGTGATCTCCAGGTGGACTGGATAGGCCATGTGGAGCCTAAGAAACACTGGCTTTATATAGACTATGGGCTGTTGCTCGTCTTTGGAGGTATTCCTTGGCAGGTCTACTTCCAGCGGGTGCTCTCCAGCAAGACAGCAGGACGGGCACAGCTTTTGTCCTATGTGGCCGCTGCAGGATGCATCCTGATGGCTATTCCACCGGTGCTCATTGGAGCTATTGCCAAGGCCACACGTAAGTGGGATTCTAAGTTATTTAAACTATGATTTTAAATTAATTATATTAATTAATTATATTCTAATAATATATTAACTCCTCTTTTTTACAGCTTGGAACGAAACTGACTACAAGGGACCCTATCCCCTGACCGTGGACGAGACGAGCATGATTCTGCCCATGGTCCTGCAGTACCTGACGCCCGACTTTGTGTCCTTCTTTGGCTTGGGTGCCGTCTCCGCCGCCGTAATGTCCTCCGCAGACTCCTCGGTGCTCTCGGCCGCCTCCATGTTCGCCCGGAATGTGTACAAATTGATTTTCCGTCAGAAGGCGTCCGAGATGGAAATCATTTGGGTGATGCGCGTGGCCATTGTTGTCGTTGGCATTCTGGCCACCATCATGGCCCTCACCATTCCCTCCATCTACGGATTGTGGTGCGTGTTGCAGGGATGCATTATTTAGTCTGACTGGCAGATCATTAGCCTGAGTGTTTATCCTCTATCTCTCCAGGTCCATGTGCTCCGACCTGGTTTATGTCATCCTGTTCCCACAGCTGCTGATGGTGGTCCATTTTAAGAAACACTGTAACACATATGGCAGCTTGGCAGCATATATCGTGGCCTTGGCCATCCGACTGTCGGGTGGGGAAGCAATCCTGGGCCTTTCGCCGCTCATCAAGTATCCCGGCTACGACGAGGAAACCCAAGAGCAGATGTTCCCCTTCCGCACCATGGCCATGTTGCTCAGCCTGATAACCCTAATCTCAGTGTCCTGGTGGACTAAGTAAGTCAATGTACTTTGTGCAATTTTAAAGAGGAATAAGTAAAACTTTTAAATTTTAGGATGATGTTCGAGTCTGGCAAGCTGCCGCCTAGCTACGACTACTTCCGCTGCGTGGTCAATATTCCGGAAGACATTCAGCGCGTGGGCGATCCCTCGGAGTCGGGTGAGCAGTTGTCGGTGATGGCAGGACCCCTGGCTAGATCATATGGGGCTGCCACTATGGCCGGCAAGGATGAGCGCAATGGACGCATTAATCCCGCCCTAGAATCCGACGACGATCTACCCGTGGCGGAGGCACGTCGTTTGAACCAGCAGACGGCGCAGGCGCAGGTAAAGAAGATGCTGGACACGGCCACCGGTGTGAAGCCGGCCGGCGGAGGCGGTGGCCAGTCTGGCATGGCCATGCCCACTCCAGAGCAGGACAACACGGCCTTCTGAGTAGAGTAGGCGCCCGGCGGAGCGAAAATCCCGGAGGGTCTCGCCAGCCGAGCCCGAAAGTAGGCTGCAGTCGAACCACAGAATTATACGATTTTAAGTTGCGCTTGTTACGGGGGATTTGAGACGACGGGGGCAATGGCAGGATCAGGAAAATCAGGAGGATCGGGAGAATGAGTAAGGTCAGGATGGAATACAGAAAGTATTAGGACAAGTACGTTAAACACACAAGTGCTCAGGTATAAAGTGCAGAAAGCTGATCGTAAGGTTTACGTTATCATTTAGCCAACTTATATAGTGTATAGTTTCCACAGAAGCTTAAAGCGTTCCATCGTTCTTGATTTTGCAGTTAGAGACGTGTCTTTTTGTGTAAATGTTCAAAAGTTATCGAAATACATATCAAATGCATTTTCCTCCGCCCGAATAATGCATTCAAATACGTATTAATTTAGAGAGAGAAAAGGTTCAGAAGCCGGAAAGGAGGCTAGAAAATAGGGTTTAGAGTGTCATAATGCCTAAAGCCGTGTCATAAAGAAACTCACAAGAAATATTAATAAACTATAGAGATATTACTTTGAAAGTTTTGTAAACTTAGGGCTTTATGACACTCGTAAAAGTGTAGACTAGACGCACCCCCAATAAACCTATATATGTATAAATGCGTAAGACGAGAGCATTTGTGTGTCACAGATGAGGCAGTCCCACTTAACCATTCCTGGCATTATTATCGGTATCGGTCATATATACTATATAGATGCATATAATGTGAATCATGTGTCCTTCCAGAACGAACAAAGCTAAGCAAGAAACACAAGTGAAATAATGGATAAACTAATGCAAACGAAACATATCAAAACGAGATACATATCAGTCGTGTAAGCTATATAGGAGAATCGAGATATATACACATACATCAACTAAACAAAATAAACGAGCAGCATGTATATGAGAGAATATAGTTGTGTAAGCTAAGAAATCGAGGCATATCAAGTTATATAGGAATGAATTTTAGCTGCTCTCAAAGAGCAAAGTCACATGGAATATTAAAGAGAAGAAATGGAAATGATATATGTAACATGTTGCGTCGTAGTACCTAAAAACTATATATACATATATTAATATATATACATACCTATACAAAATCATATACACCCACATATATATATACATGTATCTAGAACCAGCCACAGAATTTAGAGAGTTATACCCAGGACAAACACTCCCCCCATTGATCCAAAAAACCAACCTGCATATTGGCTAGGAGAATATCTATTCTATATACACACACGCTGCCTGAACCCCAAACCTGAACTGGAAGCTGAAGAGATTCGTAAGAATCATAACTAATAACTAAATTGACATTTAATTGAAATATTCGATGGTGAGATGTGTGTTGGTTCCTCTTTTTTGTAATGTTCACTCGGCTCGTTTGTTAAAGTTTCGTCCCGTTGGAGAGATAACTAAACTAAAATCTATCTAAAAGCAACTCAAGTAACTAATATGCGTAACAAGCTGGATGTTAAGCCCTAAAAACTACAACAAACTCACTTAAGTGTAATAAATGTTGACTGCTTTTTGATTGAGCCTCGTCTGTTTGTTGTATTTGGGGTAAAGTTTTGTAACCTTTACATAAGCGAGACTACTTACTATACTTACTGAAGTGTTTTGAGTCCATCTAGGATATCCATCTAAACATATATATGTTCGTTGTTATTGTTATTATTAAATCTTGCATCAGATCTGAGTGTGTACATTTCGATAAAGTTCAAATTTAACTACATTTCCAGATAACTTACATAATTAACATAATTAAGTGCGTTTCTTTGTGCAGATGTTAACCAGATTTGTAAATAAGCAACAATTACTCGTTTGTAATGTTACTATCAACTATCAACCAAAACCACCAAATAATTTATGCATTCAAAACGAAATAATTCTGTTTTGCAATTAGTTAAAAGAGTATGTACCTATGTTATTGTTAACTAAACTTGGTCTATCCATTCCAAGTACTTTTAGTGGAATTATGTTAACCAAAGAAAAATAATTAAAAATAAACATGAATAGGAAAAATGGTTACGATATACACGATGTATTATGATCAGATTAAACCAAACCGAATACATATCAATGTTTTAAGCCTAGCAAAAGGGAAACGAAAACAAGTATTTAATAAATAAAAGGTATATAAATATATGGAAATGGTTTCTCCCCAGTCTCTGTCTGTTTATTTATTCTATTTCTCAAAGCTTAGTTGACTAACCAACTAAGTGACTTACCAAGTAACTGACTAACTGACTGACTTATAGTCTCAATGACTGACTGACTAGCTTGTGAAATAAATACAAACATTACCGAGCAACAAAAGCCGCCATCGTCGAGTGACAATCTCCAGACAATGGAATGGTATTATCGCAGGTTGAAATTTCTCAGGCCAAGTTAAAGAGCAAAGAGCTCTTGTCGGTGTGGCATCTCATCGGTTCCGCAAAAACAATGCAGTTCTGGGGGGTTCCCCTTCACATGTGTGGCAACTATGCGACAGTTACTTATATTATTTAGTCGAGAGTCAGGCCGCTAAGTTGCCAAAGTCGCATCTCAACTGATTGCAATTAGCCTGCTAATGATACCACTGCCGCCGCAATTAAGATATAATCCCAATTAGATCGGAATCGCCAGATAATGATGGGTGGTAGAACAGCGCCGCCCACCGTCATAAGACCATAACTTGTGTCGCTCGAGAATTGCCCCTAATTGTGGTCGGTGTCGTGTCAGCTTCTGTGGCTAATGTTGCTGCCATGTCAGTGGTTGTGCTTCTGCGGCTATGTGGCTCCGTGTCTATGGCTATTGCATCCGGTATTCTGGCAAAAATTTGCATTGTTTGCCGATTTGAACCTTCAACTGTCACTGGGTCGGAGCAGCAGCTCGTCTTCGCTTGTCTTCTTCTTGGCCAATTAGCCGAACGGAAGAATTTCTCGAATGCCTCGGACTTGGCCTATGTCACGGATGTGAAGGGAACCGATCGCCCAGAACTGATGGCCGTTGCACAGAAAACAATAATAGCCATGAAATGATATTTGATTATATCTGCTTTCTTGAAATTAAGTATTGAAATATACAAGTTAAATATAGAGAATCATGGAACTACAAGTGAAAAAAAGTGATTGCTCTGGATTAAAGTCTTAATATTAATAGTATCTTTGTTTATGATTCTTCATCAAGTTGTTTATTTAACAAACGTTTGGTCTTTTACATCTAATGGTACAATGAATTACGGCTAAAGTTCCATGGGTTCCATTTTGGGAAATACGATAGAATGGGCGAATTGCTGGTCAATTGGGGAATAATTTACAGTTGCGAGAGATGACATGAGGTGGTTGTAGATGGTGCTGGTGGTGCATAATGGTTGCTGGTGGCTCCTGGCAGGTGGCTGAGTATTCAAAGGCACATGGCGAACGCTGGTTGGGTGATGGCCTTACTTCTTGCGGTAGGTGTAGCCACCATCGGCGCTGTAGCTCTGCTGGATGGTCTCGGGCACCTGACTGGGTCCGTTGTACTCGTAGCCGGAGTCCTGGGCTGGGGCGCTGGGATATGGGCCAGAGCTAGAGGATCCACCAGTGGGTGGGGCACTGTAGCTGGACGATGGGCCGCTGGGGAAGTTCAGAGCGGGACCGGCAGCAGGAGCTCCATAGGAGCTGGAAGGAGCAGAGGGATAGCTGCCGGCGCTACTCGAGGCCGACGATGAGGCGAAGGATGAGCTCGATGAGTGATGGCTGGATGAGAAGGATCCGGATCCAGATCCAGTTGATGGAGCTCCGTAGGAAGAGGAGGGGGCACTGAAGGATTGCGATGGTCCTGAGGCAGGTGCTCCGTATGAGGATGATGGTGGCGAGATAGGGGCAGAGTATGAGTTAGATGGTGCCGCTGGGTATGGTCCGCCGCTGTTCGAGTTGGGACTGGGTGCGGAGTATGAAGAAGAGGGAGCTGACGGATAAGATCCTCCGCTGTTTGAGTTCGGGCTAGGAGCCGAGTACGAAGAGGAAGGAGCCGATGGGTAAGGTCCTCCACTGTTCGAACTGGAACTGGGAGCGGAGTATGATGATGATGGAGCAGCGGGATAGGGTCCACCAGAGCTGGATCCAGCTCCAGGAGCCGAGTACGAGGAAGAGGGAGCCGACGGATAAGGTCCTCCACTATTAGCTCCAGGGCTGGGTGCCGAGTACGAAGACTGAGGCGCTGCTGGGTACGGTCCACCGCTGTTCGATCCCGAACCAGGTGCCGAGTAGGAAGAGGATGGAGCTGCAGGATAGGAGCCTCCGCTGTTGGCATCCGCACTGGGAGCAGAGTACGAAGAGGAGGGAGCAGCCGGATAAGGTCCGCCACTGTTCGATCCAGAGCTAGGTGCCGAGTAGGAAGACGAAGGCGCCGATGGATAAGATCCTCCACTATTTGAGTTTGGGCTGGGAGCGGAGTACGAGGACGAAGGTGCCGAGGGATACGATCCACCACTGTTGGCACTGGCACTGGGAGCCGAGTACGAGCTGGAGGGAGCCGAGTGGAAGGATCCGCCATGGGATCCACCAGAACCCTTGCTCGGTGCACCGTACAAGGACGAAGGAGCTGCAGAAAAGCTGCTTGAACCAGAACCGCCGCTGGGAGCTCCGTAGCTGGACGAAGGTGGGGAGATTGGCTGGAATGAGGACGAGGGTGCTCCGTACGAAGATGAGGGCGGTGCCGCGGGTGCATCATACGAGGATGGTCCCGAGGTATAGCCACTGCTGCTCAGACTCTGGGTCTTTGAAGGAGCTCCATAATTGGTCGATGGCGCCGAGGCCAAGGGAACAAAGTTGCTCACACTGGGCGCTCCATAGTTGGACGATGGCTTCGATGGTCGCGGTGCGGGTGGCAGATAGGAGCTGACAGGTGCCTGAGGGGGTGCTCCATAGCTGGGGGATGGTGGTGGTGCAGGTGCCGACTTTGGTGGTCCGTAGGATGAGGATGGCGGCGCAGGAGCTCCATATGACTTGGATGGTGGTGCGGGTGCTCCATAGGAGGAAGAGGGGGCAGAAGGAGCCCCGTAGGATGAAGACGGGGCAGCAGGTGCTCCAAAGGAGGAAGATGAGGTAGAGGGAGCACCATAGGACGACGATGGCGGTGCAGGCGGTGCTCCATAGGCCTTTGAAGGAGCTGCTGGTGCTCCGTACGATGTGGATGGGGCGGCAGGAGCTCCGTATGACTTGGAGGGTGGAGCAGGAGCACCATACGAAGAGGAAGGAGCAGAAGGAGCTCCATAAGATGAGGAAGGAGCAGAAGGAGCTCCGTAAGATGATGAGGGTGGTGCGGGCCTAGGGGCTCCGTAGCTGGAAGAAGGCGCCGACTTGGGTGGTCCGTATTTAGACGAAGGAGCTGGGGATCCGTAACTCTGAGACGGAGGCGCAGACTTCGGGGGTCCATAGCTGGATGAAGGCGGAGCACCATAGCTCTGCGAAGGCGGGGCTGGCCTTGGGGCTCCGTAGCTGGAGGACGGGCGACGATGGTGGTGTTGCTTCTTGGCCTGTTGCGGTGGTCCATACGATTGGCTCGGGCGGCTGGGTGGCGGCCCATAGCTAGACGAGGGGCGCGAAGCCGGTGGACCGTAGGAGCTGGAAGGACGCGGAGCCGGTGCAGGATACGGTCCACCCGAGGAGGCGCTCTGCGAGGGCGCCGAATAGCTGCTGGACGGACCGGAGTTGAACGAGGGCGCTGGTCCGGAGGCGGGTGGCAGATAGGAGCTGGGCGGCGGGGCCCCATACTTGGAGGACGGACGCTGCTGGGAAGTGGGGGGCAGGTAGCCATTATTCAGCGGCGCCTCGCGCTTCGCCGCTCCAACATCGCGGACCAGAGACGCGGCGACGATGGCCACCACGCCGATGACACCGAAAAGCTGCAGCGAAAACGAGGAAATTGGCAAAAATTAGCTTTTTGTGCCGCATCGAGATCGCGCTGATCGATGATCCACTATTTACTTGGAATTTCCACCGATTTACAGTGAGAGAAAATCTTGGTAAAAGTCAGTAGAGTGAATTCTTCATTCCCATACAGGGGCTTATAGTTTTAGTCAAATGCTTGCAAAACAGTGAAGGAGTCATTTCCGACCCTATAAATCATATATATTCTTGATCACCATGGGCAGCCGAGTTGAACTAGCTATGTCCGACAAAAATTTAATTTTTTCAAAATTTTGAAAATTTTATATCATTAAAAATGTCAAAAATTTGAAAAAATTTCAATTTTCTTAAATGTTACACTAAGTATGCAGTTTTTTTAGCCTGACAAAAAGTAACACAGGACTGCTTTTCGAATTAAAATTAATGTTTTTTTGGCTTAGTTATGATATTTGAAAAACTGTGATTTTTCACAAAAAATATTAATATACTATTATTGATCTATAGTGCCTAAGGGGCCATATTTTAGGTGATAAATTGTGAAGAAGTCATTTCCGACTATAGAAATCATATATATTCTTGATCAGCATTAAGAGCTGAATCGATCTGTCATGGCACACAGAAACAAAAAATTTGAGCCATTTTTTGAAAATTTTATAAAGGGTTACATCGTTAAAATTGTCAAAAATAAAAAAAAAAATGTATACATTTTAAATTTTATTTTGAATGTGTTGATTTGTTAACCTAATAATAACTGGAACAGAACACCTTTCCAAATTTAAATTTCGGCTTTTTTGATAAAGTTATGATCTATCAAAGTGCAAGGGTAGCTTCACGAATTTAACTTCTTTCTTGTTAATAGTATGGAATTCATTATTTAATTAAGGGAATGGTTGTGATCCCATTAACAGTTTTCTTAATTTATATTTAACTACTATAATATAGTAACAAAATAAATATTAATATGGCTTATACACACTGAAAGGGTCTGTAAACTTTGGCTTTCCGAAGGTAAGTTTCCTTTCTGGTTGGTAATATATCATATTGCATTTCTTTCTCCCTATACATTGTTAGTAAGGGACAAAGGAATTCACTTGCCTTAATATTAAATAACTAATTAGCATGCTAACTAATTAAAAGATAAGCTCATTTCTGCTACAATTATCTAGATTTAACAACATATTTTCTTCAAGTGAAAACACAAACACTCACCACTCGCATGGTTGCTGCTGCTGCTTCTCCGGGGGATGAGCTCTCGATGCGCTTCGAATGCAAATTAACCGAGCTGCAAAGAGTATGAGGGAGAAAATCAGTTGAAAGTGGATTACCAACTAAAAATAGTTATAGATAGATTACGTTAATGTTGCATAAGCTTTTTATTCGCACCATCGCGAAGACTCCGACAAAGACGATGACCGGTTAGACCTTAATCGCTGCCGTTCAATCTTGGCTCAGTCCGTCGGCCAATGCCAAGAACTGGCCAGCAGCCGGAGCGTGTCGCCCGGCGGCATTGAGGCGCTGCCACTTAATTTGGCTTTTAGGAAAAATCGCACAAATCGCGCAGACACAAAAGCCTCTACAATTGCTGGCGAATCCCAGAGAAACTTTTCCCTTTCTTTTGGGGGCGAATTGAATAAAAGGCCAAAACGCTGTGGGGGCGTGATCCAGCAGTGGTAGCAAAGCCGTTAGCTGGATTTTATGACATTGCAAAATCAGTCACGACTACTTAAAAGCCCTCTTTCCCCACTCCCCACGCCTCTATCCCCTATCCCCTATCCCCTATCCCCTATCCTGTTGCATGTGCAGTGAGTGACACATATTTTTGTCTCCAGCTACTGCTGCCAATTACTGTCTCGCCTCGTGGCCCCGGGCTTCATCCCGCTGGCTTTTTGTTGGCTCTTTGGTGACAGACATCAGCCCCCGCGGAGTGTTATTGTTTAACTTGTGCCGCTTGTTTAGTCGTTGCTGCAAAATTTTAATTATTTTTCGAAGACCGCACAAGTGACTGGAATGACCCGCCGAATGTGAGGCAATTCCTAATTGGCCATGCCGCTTATGCAAGAATTATGGCCGATGACAAGGCCGAAATGCAGAAAGTCTTATTCAGTTAATGAAAATAAATTTAAAGTATATCCTGCTAAAAGTTGTTTTTATATATTTCACTAAGTTGGCTTAGCAATCTTTTTACTTCAAGATTAGTCAGGGAAACTCTTTCAAAGCGTGAATAATTTATGGCTTTAAATTGTATTTCTTTAGTTTTGAGGATCATCATGGTTTGAAGTTAAAAATCCTAATCAGTTTAGCTTGTCTAGCCGAACAATTTGTATAGAATTCGGCTTAGAAATAGTTCATTAAACGGATACCTATTCCTGAATTTCTATGTTTAAAATAATAATATTGAGCAGTAGCATTAGAATTTTAATATGATTCATCCTATTTCTTTACTCTATACTTATTCAATAATAATTAAGTTTTCAGTTCAGGTAACATTGGCTGAGTAAAGTTTATAAAATTGATACTCTAATATATATTATTAATAACAAAAAACATTCTATCTATAACATTTTTGATATTTAATAATGGTAACTTTCCAAATACCTATTGTTTTTCATTTCGTTAAATAAAGATCGTTAGCCTGAACTCTGTTTATTAAAATATTACCACTTTTTGTTATAACAAAATGTCTGTAATAAAAATTAGTTAGTAATTAGTTTTCACTGATACAAATTAAACGAAATTGGTAGATATTTTGCTTCACGATTTACGATGATTTTAAAACATCCTGTTCGAAAGGCTTTGACACTATTTTAAATATAAGATTTAACGATGAAATCCTGCTCAAATAGTTTGTAACACTTTTGTGCTTTTACGATAAATTTCGATAATCCTTTTCGAGGGTTAACACTAACCGTTTTCGTGGACACCAGCTGCTTCTTTGATATTTGGTTTTTGGGAGGCACTTCACCAGACGATGCTCTGCCGATGGACAAATGCGAACTACACTGCTGTTTGATGCGCAGCATGCACTTTTATACAAAATCATAACCGGGCAAAGCCACAAAAAGCCAAGAAAAAACATTGGTAAAAACACTCACAACAATAACAAAAAAACACTAACAATAACAATGCGGACAGACGAAAATCAAAAGCTTCGAAGAGCCAAACACAATGCGAAGAAGACGCTGGCAAGTCTTCGGCGTCGAGTTGTGGGTACTTTATGTAACACTCCAAATGCACTCACTCGCCACCAGCCACAAGCCACCAGCAACATCTGCCACAAAATAAAAACAACAAAAAGCTAAATTCAAAACACCGCCGGAGGCAGCAAACAATAATGGTAAAGCGATCGGAAAGCTTTCTGCTTTTGCTTTGCTTTTTGCCCTGATAAATCCACATCGATCCGATTCCAAGTTCAGTGGCAACATCTGTCATCACTACACGGCTTTACCTTTGCATAAATCATAAAAGAGCGTGCCGCTTCAAATTAATATCAATAATTGCTTTTTATTCGAATGTTCGCTGTTGGTGTACATATTGTTAAAAGTACTTGTAATATACTTGCAATAAGATGTTGTAGTATCAAATCCACTAATTAAAGATAAAATATATATTTAAAAGAAGTCACATTAGTCACATGCTTAAACTAAATTCAAGTAAGAAATGCTACGAGTTTTGATAAAAAAGTTATGAATAATATTATACTCAAAAGTAAATTGACTTGTTCAAAATTTTAATCTTTGTATGATTAATAAAAGTATGTACTTTTTTTTATGACTCTATTATATGATTATGCCTTTTCAATATTGCTTTAAAAAACTCAAGTATTTTCTCTTAGACAAGTCATTTTACGGATAATACATCTAATATGAGATTTCCTTTAGATAAATAAAATAATGGCTTTAAAACTTTATATCAGAAGTAGATATTTGGAATTTATAGTGTAATTCTCACCTTGGTAAGACGCATTTTTGTTTGAGAAAAGGTAAAGGTAAATGGTGTAATTCTCACCTTGGTAAGATGCATTTTTGTTTGAGAAAAGGTAAAGGTAAATGGTATTATGCGAAAGCCTTGGAAGAAATGAAACATTTAAATTAAGATCATCAAATTATTTCTACATTTTAAATCCTTAAAAATAAGCTACATCAAAATAGCCATAAATAGTCTCTTATACCCACAGTCAAATATTTCATAAATAAATACATTATAACTTCCCTCGATAATACTCCCCGGTCCCATCAATCAATTAAAACCCAAATCATGGTGCAGTTATTAACATTGGGTGGATGGTTTATTTTAGGCCACAGTTGGCGGCATCTCCGGTTTCTTCCAAATGTAACTGGCCCAGGGGATGCACTCCTTCAGCAGATGCATGTAGGCCAGACCCGAGGGGCAGTCGACCTCCTTGGCCGCAGTGCCCAGCTCCTCGCAGAGCCAGTACTTGGCGGCGTCAAAGTGATGCGGATAGGTCTGTCCCACCTCGGACTCGTCCTTGCAGGCGGAACGACCCGCATCGGAAGTCACGCTGGCCACCAGAAAAGCGGCCACCAGGAAGGCGAACAGAGCAGCAACTACCGGCATTGGGGAGGAAGGGAAAAGTAAGCAGTAAGCAATCGATGGGGAAATAACTTTGAAAAGCAACCAACACCCACCAGACTTCATTTTCAGCTGTGAAAGTTTTCTCGATATAGGGAACCAACTGAGGCCATTCCATTTTGGCCACGGAACTTTTATACTTTCTGTGGAGAGCCAAAAAAAAGAAGTAAAAACAAGAATAATAAAAGTATTGACATTTTGACACACGCGCGCATCCGTTGATTATTATCTGGGGAGCAGAATCAAAGAGCAGAGAGTTGCTCCGAGATAGGAAGCTGAATCTGGCAAAATGGGAAAAATGTGGACCCGGGGGTGAAGAGGAAAAGAAATTACTATATACTATATAAAAGAAATATTGTTTTAGTGAAGTACACTTTTAATAAAAGATTAAAATCTCTTGCACTGTCTCTAAATGATATATACTTATATATAACTAACCCAAACTATGTATCACTAATTGATGCTCACAAGCTAAAATTTATAAGGTCTATAAGTTGACACCCTTCATAATACCCATGACTAGTTATTGACACCTTGTCACGTGTAATCCCAGATGGCATACCGAATCCATAATCGCATATTTTATATATTTCCATAAAACAAATGCTGAAATATGAATTCGTTTAAATTGTGCAACATTAAAGTCTATCGGCCCATTCATTAATTAATTGCTGACCAACTCTTTGATGCTTATTTCTTTTTCGTTTTATTTTTGTAATATTTATTGTAGTCTCTTTTGTTTTTTGTTTAGTCATTTTGCAAAAGTATTTTGCATTTATGGTAACTGTTTGTTTCTTTGTGGCTTTGTTTGGCATCGAAACCCCGCAGCGATTCGGGCGCCAGGCCACTTGACCAATATAAATAGCAAAACTAACAAACCTATAATAAAAATAAAGAAAAAAGACAAAACTAAAAACCGTTTAGCAGCGAAAACAAAAGCCCTGAAAATAGCTTACAAAATGTTTGCAGTGTTTAAAGTGTAATTACAGTTTCCGCATTGAGGGAAAAAGGGGTTTTGCCAATCGGCCAACACAATATGGCCAGAAGGAGACCGGAGGAGACCATCGGAGTCTGGCAGATGTCAGATGACTCGGCATGTGTTAAGCTGACTGATTATTTCAGGTTGGCCAAGACGATGGAGGCACCGCGCAATGCAGCGGCTAATTATCGATTAAGCCGACACGCTCGGTCTCTCTGGGGGCCAAATCCAATTAATGTGGCCAAGTGAAATGCGGCTCGTTATGATTGCCCAAAATGATGGTGAGAAGCAGCAGCAGCAGCGAGCAGCCGGGCGACATCCGCAGCCAGGGAACTAAAAATAAATCAAAACTCATTTGGACTAAGTGATTTTCGCTGTGCAACAAGTGCCCCGATGCAGAGCGATAAGGCCTATAGGACACTATAAATATGCCAATTTTCGGCCTTCGATTGCAACACTTTCATCATGTACAAGGGTGAGACATCACCTTAACTTCTCTCCCTAAGATAGAGACTAACTTCCCCTTTCCGCTCCCTTTTTGGCAGGCACTTTCCTTTGCTGCCTGCTGCTGGGCCTGATCCTGGCTCTCAGCTCCGCCTACAACGGCCAGGACATCTACGCCGAGCCCAACTGTGCCATCGTCGAGGATCACGCTCGCAAATTTCGCGACATCTCGGACCCCACCCACTACTGGGTCTGTCCCGAGGGTCAGGAGAAGGCCGACTACATCCAGTGCCCGGACAACTACGCCTTCATGGAGAAGGAGCAGTCGTGCGTCGTCTGGGAGGAGTGGAAGTGGGTCGAGCCCTACACCAAATAAACCGAACCTAAGCCCCCACGCCTCGTAAACAGCACAAAGTCTAAGCCATTTCTATTTCTTTTTCCGCTGCCGCCAAGTTTTGATTGGATTCGATTGGATTTCTCAGAAGGGAGACGGGCTCAATGGTGGTGTAAATAAATTAATTATATGTCCTAACTTTGGTCAGTACTGTGGCATACAGTGAAACTTCTCAGGAAAAAATCTTGGTTGCCTTTCTTTGTGATTTCTTCAGGATGGGTAACTTTAATATTAGTTGAAAGACGGTAAAAGATAATCGGTATAGTATTAGTACTTTGGTATATTAAAGATTTTCGGTTGATAAAGTAGTAAATATCCCTTGTCGGTTTAACGACATCAAAGATTTCGTTCGTGTTGTAATACTTACGTAGTTCTTAGGTAAAGGTTTCACTGTACTTGCATCATCTCCCCTCTACCTTGTAGGCTTAACTACTTTATAGACTTTTCTCGTACAGTCTTAAGAAATTATGTTCATGTAACTCAATGTCCACGTAACTTTGACATGTGCTGGTATTCGAAGTTGGATACATAGTTTCCCCTGTGCTGATGCCTTGGACCTGAACTTGGGCCTCGACCTGAGGCTGAGGCTGAGCCCGAACTCGAACTCGAGCTCGAACCCAATGAAGCAGAACTTTTAATTAACCAAGGTAGGTACAGAAACACACACACACAGCCTGCTGAGGAGGGTTCCCAGGGGCCCTGGGGCCACGGCAGCTCTCGCATATATCACATACTCTAGCCGGAATATGAGATACGTCTGATAAACGATAATTAGGCAGTGCGTGTCTGTTGCGCTTGTAATGTTATCTAACACCTTCGATTGGCAATCAAAGCCGTTGCCGCTGTGCTGCTGTTGCTACTACAATCAATCAACTCGCATTGTGCCCGCTCCAAAGTCATTCAAAGTACCCCAAACAGAGGATGAAAAACTGAGTCAGACGTCTCCAGTCCGGGGTGCTCCAATTCGGGGCTTAACAAAATATATAAATTGGGTGCTCTCGCATATTTTTGTATTTTTCCCTTCAGGTAAAAGTCATAAATATCAAAGCGTGGCGAAGAGAAACACAAGCGCTCGCATTAAAAGTGAAAAGTACTTCAATAAATTTAGTTAGAAATCATTGCCGCAATGCAAACACACGGAGTATTCGAGATGGAGTGTTCGTGGGCACGTTGTGTGGATGCCGATGCCCCACGGCGGATTGAAGTGCCCATCGATGGCATCACATAATGAATTTGGGTTCGGAGGTGCCGTAGCTGTGGCCGGTGCTAGTGCTAGTGCCGTTGCCTTACCCACGGATCTCTGAAGAAAGTCAGCAGCAGTGCGGCGGTGGCCTTGACAAGGCGAGGAGACACCATTATCTGCATGCAGATAAGACCTCCGAGCCCATCGACTAATGGCAATGACAATGGTAATGGCAATACACCACTGCCGGTGGTACTGCTCCGCTACAAGTAATGTTAATGGCGATGCCAACTAGGTACGACTACAGAGAAAGAAAACGGAGCTAAAACAATGACATAGATATATATTTATTAAAGAATACTTTGCTAATAGAAAATAATAAAAAAGCTAAGTATAAATTCTTTAATTGTATATACTATTTATTTATTTTCCCTTTCACATTATTATTTTCTACAGTGCTCTGTGGCATAAAAACAAAGCACTTGCATTAGTTGCCTCATTTGCCAATACAATACGAAACGAAACGGAGTGCGGTGTGGGTTTTATTTTTATCAGATAGCTGATGCTGCCTCATTTCTGGGTTAAGATGAGCTGCAGCTCCCATCTCGAGTGTGTCGTCGCACTTGGGCAGCGCTATTACTGCGTCAACGACTGCCATAATTATTCCCATCATTACTTTGATGTATAAATATATATTATATCCATACATTTATTCAGAGTTGTGCAAATAAGGCAAGTGAACACTTATCTGACATTGAACCAATTTTTCTGGTCTTTGTTTTCAGCTAATAAATAAATAAATGCTCATCGATGACGAAACTATATCGTGACAAATTCTTTATAGAACATTAAGCTAAGTGCAGGAAATTAATGGGTGGCTTGATTACCCGATATATATGCATTAACGATTTTTTGTTTAATTAATTTGAAAAACTGAAGGAGAATATTGAAAATAAATTAATTTTCAAGCTTTGGAAAAGGCACAAAATTTATATATATGGTTTAAGCTAACAAATACTTTGACTATAAAATACATATAAACCAAAGTCTTCTATTATTTAATATGCCAACTGTCCTTTTGTTAGGTAACCCATTATATTAACAGAAAATAACTTAATTACCTTTAGGGATTACCTTCACTGACCTTGGCTAATCGCACCAAGCTTCGCTGTGTGTTCCGAATTTGTCCATTTCCCACCGCTGCGACCGCACTTTTGTAATTATCTATCACAATCTATCTCAATCCAGATGCCCAGCAAAAACGGCAAGACAGCGCCGGTGCTTTGATTGATGGCTCCACTGATTTGACTGATAAGAAAACATATGTACACACCGACTCTGCCAAACATATATCCCTAATACATGGCCTGTCACAGGCCAGGTGAGTGACAAATTGACATGTCTCAAAAATGATGAATTTTCCGCCGAGGGGGCTGTAGAGAGAGAGAGAGGAAAAGCCAGTCTGTGAAGAACACAAGAAGAGAATCCAAATGACCTTTCATCGGACGGGCAAATAAATTCAAAGCGACATGGCACCGAGAACCGCCTTCAAGCGTTTTGAAAAAAATTGTATTTGAGTGGCGGAGTGTTGAGTTTAGCATAGGTCAAAGTTCGCTGCTGAAGCGGGATTTTGGTTCAAGTCCACTGCTGACGTCAGTGGCCTGTACCCACATCAGGAGCAATAAGCCGCAGCTGAAAGCGAAACCAACAACGATACCCCAAACTGAAGCTGGGAAATGGGAGATGGAAGCCTGTGAAGCTGGGAGGAGTATCTCCTGCATCTCACCTGGCTCTATCTGGGTTCCTCCCCTCCATATAATGCCCATTAATTTTTCAGGGCCTGGCCCCCTCTGTCTCTCCTTTAGGCATTCGCCATTTATATGCATTAAAACTTTATTCCTTTATTCTTTTGCCACGAAATGTCTCTGCTCATCCGAAATGATTGTCGGGGCCTCAGAGTGATTGAGGCCTGTCATCTGCAGACTGTTAATTGAATGAGGACTTATTCAGACAGACAAAGGCCAAACTTGTTCAATATTTCAGTGAAGAGAACATCGGTGTTCTTTGTGTGCCCTAAAAATAATTG